GAGCCCAATGCGGGGCCCAATCCCAGGACCCAGAGATCATAACCTGAGCCAAAGGCAGACGCTTAACCGGCCCCATTCCTATCATTTTTTTTGTTTTGTACTTGCCATATATATATATATATTTTTGTTGTTGTTGTTGTTTTGTTTTTGAACTGATTTTTTTTTTTTTCCATAGTTGTTTGAAGGTCATATGTTCATTTTTTTTCTTCTGGAGTTACCTGTGAATTTTGATGAGTTTAAACTGTCACTTTAGGCGCCTGGGTGGCTCAGTTGGTTGGGCGACTGCCTTTGGCTCAGGTCGTAATCCTGGAGTCCCGGGATCGAGTCCCACATCGGGCTCCCTGCTCAGCAGGGAGTCTGCTTCTCCCTCTGACCCTCCTCCCTCTCATGCTCTTTGTCTCTCATTCTCTCTCGCAAATAAATAAAATCTTAAAAAAAAATAAAAAAAATAAACTGTCACTTTATTCCTCTTATTTAGAATTAAACAGAATCTGTATCTTCTTCCCCCAGCAAGACAGACTGCAGTTTGCTTCACTTCCCTCTCCTTTCTCTTCCCTCAACTTCCTGTGTTGAAATCACGTATTTTAGTTCCAGATTGCTGAATTTTTGAAAGTCACATGTATTGCTGCTTCCTTTGCTTATCATTGTTTCTTAACGCTCATACCTTCTTGGACGCTTTTTAAATTATTTTGGAATGCATTTACTGATTATTTCAGAGAAGGTTTTTGAGTAGTAAACATTGAGTTCTTTCATGTGTGAAAATTTCTTTTGCATTCCTCCTTGAAAGCTGATTTGGCTGGATATGTTTCAAAATCATTTTCCTTATAACTTGGAAGCCAGTGCTCCATTGTCTTCTAGCATCTATGTCGCTGATGAAAAATCTAATTCCACCTTTGTGTGATTTATGTATCTTTGTAGGAATTCAGTTGTTTTCTTTGAAAGGTGTTTTTTTTTTTTTATGTTCAGTTAGCATATAGTACATCATTAGTTTTTGATGTAGTGTTCAACGATTCATTAGTTGTGTATAACACCCAGTGCTCATCACCACACGTGCCCTCCTTAATACCTATCACCCATTTACCCCATCCCCCCACCCCCTCCCTTCTGTAACCCTCACTTTGGTTCCTGGGGTCCAGAGTCTCTCATGGTTTGTCTCCTTCTCTGATTTCTTCCCATTCAGTTTTCCCTCCCTTCCGCTGTGGTCCTCTGCACTATTCCTTGTGTTCCACATATGAGTGAAACCATCTGATAATTGTCTTTGTCTGCTTGACTTATTTTACTTAGCGTAATCCCCTCCAGTTCCATCCATGTCCATGCAATCTTTGGAAGTCTTTTTTTTTTTTTTTTTTTTTTAAAGATTTTATTTATTTATTTATTTGAGACAGAGAGAATGAGATAGAGAGAGCATGAGAGGGAGGAGGGTCAGAGGGAGAAGCAGACTCCCTGCCGAGCAGGGAGCCCGATGCGGGACTCGATCCAGGGACTCCAGGATCATGACCTGAGCCGAAGGCAGTCGCTTAACCAACTGAGCCACCCAGGCGCCCCTCTTTGGAAGTCTTTAGGATTTCTTGACATTTATTAAAAAAATTTTCTTAAAAGATTTTACTGGATTTTTTTTTTTAAAGATTTTATTTATTTATTTGACAGAGAGCGAGCGAGCGAGAAATACAAGTAGGGGGAGTGTGAGAGGGAGAAGCAGTCTTCCCGCACAGAGCGGGGAGCCCAATGCGGGGCTCGATCCCAGGACCCTGGGATCATGACCCGAGCTGAAGGCAGATGCTTAACGACTGAGCCACCCAGGCGCCCCTTTACTGAATTGAGAGAGAGAGCAAGAGAACAAGAAGGGGAGGGGCAGAGGGAAAGGGATGAGTAGACTCCCTGCTGAGTGGGGAGCCTGACATGGGGCTTGATCATGACCTGAGCAGAAGGCAGCCACTTAGCCTACTCAGCCACCCAGGTGCCTTGGATTTCTTGACATTTCAATAGCGTGTGTCTAAGTCTGCCCTTTCTCCACTAATTGGTTCTGCTTAACACTTAGTGAACCTGATGATTTATGTCTTCCTCCCCTTTCTCCCCCAGGAAATTTCTGGGACTCAGAGAAGGTAGATATTGGACTTTCTAGTTGTGTATTTCTATATATATATAGATATATCTATCTATCTATAGATATATCTACTTTTCCTTCATACTTGAGAGGCATTTTGGGAGAATTTCTTACTTTTGTTTTCCATTTATTTTTTCTGTGCCCATTTTGCTGTTAAATATATTGGTTGAGCTTTATTTTGGAAATGAATTTGTTCCTTTTTTTCTTTTATAAAACTTTATTGAGGTATAATTTACACACAAGCAACTGCACCTATTTAAAGTGTACAATTCCATGCATTTTGACAGATACATATGCCCATGAAGCTTTCCCCTCACCTCCAGCAATCAAGATTTGGGTTACTACAGAAAGTTTTCTCCTGCCCCTGTCCAGTCCTTCCCTCCCTTCCTCCCCGAGCCAACAATATAATTCCTATCAGATGCAGAAATGATTGCTTTGTATCTCTTAGGGTTTCATATAAATGGAATCCTATAGTATGTAGCCTGTTGTGCAGGCTTCTTTTACTCAGCCTATTTTTGGATTCATCTGTGTTAAGTATAGTTTGTCCCTTTCCCCCCTTTTTTGAAAGCTTCACCCCCCCCACTAAGAAATTAACATTGATACAATTCACAGACTTGACTTAGATTTCACCAGTTTTACATAAACTCTTTGTGTATGCATACTTAGTTCTGTATGATTTTATCACATGTAGATTCTTGCAGTCACAACCACAGGTGGCAATCGTTTCTTCATTTCTGAGTTTTGCTTGCGGTAGCTTATTTATTTTTCATGGATGAGATCTCACTTTACCTCTGAGGATATTTATGATTATTATTTTTTTAAAGATTTTATTTATTTATTTATTTGAGAGAGAGAGAGCACATGAGAGGGGGGAGGGTCAGAGGGAGAAGCAGACTCCCTGCTGAGCAGGGGGCCGGATGTGGGACTTGATGCTGGGGCTCCAGGAGCCTGACCCGAGCTGAAGGCAGTCGCTTAACCAACTGAGCCACACAGGCGCCCCTGTGATTATTTTTAAGTCTCCTGTTTGTTCCTGCAGTTCTTTCTTCAGATGTTTAGTTTCTCATTTTTGTGGTATAGATCTCCCTTTTGGTGATTCTAATTTGTAAAGTGTTCATCTCTGTTTTGAGGATTGCTGTTCTGTCAGTGGATGCAGTGTCTCTTTACCAGTCTCTCAGAATGGATTGTAGGGATATATGGCCAGGTGTGGGGGCTCCTCATTTCTTCTGAGGGATAGTAGCTACTTGGGTGCCATCCTGACTCTTTGGCTTAAGTGCTTGGTTTAGTGAAGACTTTGCTTCTGATAGTGGGGGGTGGGGCGGGATAGGCAGAGGGGGCTAAGTGGTTGGTCTGTCCAGTTGCGCCAGACGCATTCCCCACCAGATCACCCATGACCACCAGAGCCTGCTCCTGTTTCCCCATGCAGCTACCCCTATGTACAGCTTGATGGAGCACCTCTATAATCCCAGTGTTCATAGCTACTCCCAGTTTTTATACAATTCTTCTTTTGAGGGTTCTGGACAGTTACTGCCTCTGTCAACCTAGTTCTGCTGATCATATCATTTCTTGTTTCCCAGAACTATCATGGAAAATAACATATAGGTAAACCTCTATCTTTAGTCATTTCTGTGATCTAAGCTGGGAGGGCAAGTCATGCATGTCTGTGCAGTCCATCTTCATCTGATCTCCCGAAGCCATTTTTTTGGAAGTATTTTTTGGGAACAGCTATAAGTCTGAAATGTCTGTTCCATTAAAGTCCTTTGAAACCTTTTATTTTGGGGACATCAGGTTTTGAGGGACAAATTGACTACTGGAGCTTACATCTTACATGGATTGGGAATTTCCTGTACCCCTAGTTTGCGTACTAAACTGGAGCTCTGAAAAGTTGCAACATTTTTTTCTTTTTCTTTTTTTTAAGATTTTATTTCTTTTTTCTTTCTTTTTTTTTTTTGAAAGATTTTATTTATTTATTTGACAGAGAGAGACACAACGAGAGAGGGAACACAAGCAGGGGGAGTGGGAGAGGGAGAAGCAGGCTTCCCACGGAGCAGGGAGCCTGATGTGGGGCTCGATCCCAGGAGCCTGGGATCATGACCTGAGCTGAAGGCAGACGCTTAGCGACTGAGCCACCTAGGCACCCTTTTCTTTTTTCTTTTAAAAATTTTATTTATTTGAGAGAGTGAGGGAGAGAGAGAGAGAGAGAGCGTGCACACAGAAGCCGGGGGGAGGGGCAGAGGAAGTGGGAGAAGCAGACTCCCTGCTGACCTGGGGCTTGATCCCAGCACCCTAGGATCAGGACCTGAGCTGAAGGCAGATGCTTAACCGACTGAGCCACCCAGGCAGCCCTCAATATTTCTTTCTTTTCTTTTCTTTTTTAAAAATTTTATTTATTTATTTGACAGAGAGAGAGTGGCAGAGGGAGAGGGAGAGGGAGAAGCAGGCTCCCCGTTGAGCAGGGAGCCCAATGTGGGATTCGATCCCAGGACCCTGAGATCATGACTTGGGCCAAAGGCAGATGCTTAACTGACTGAGCCACCCAGGTGCCCCTCAACATTTCTTATTTAAGCCAAGGGGAAGGATATAGATTTTCATTCTCAATCTTTCTTTTTTTTTCCCCCAGAGTTGAGGTTCAGGGGTAGTCACTTTGTTGTTTTTTAATATTTCATAGTATAGTTTGGGCTTATCTGTTCAGTAGGGTTGGGTTGGGTTGGCCCAGTATTCTGATTTTTTTTTTTTTAATATGTTTTTCCAAATCAGAATCCTGTTTCTTTTTCCAAACCCCTTTTTGTATTTATAGTCCTTGGAAACCTCAAGATATGAAAAAGTTGGTAATCTAGTATATATATGTTTAGTTTTCAGAAAAAAGTTGTTCTGACTTTTTTTTTCTTTCTCCATTTAGTTTTTCCGTGGTTTGGCTTGGATATTGGTGGAACCCTGGTCAAGCTGGTTTATTTTGAACCCAAAGACATCACTGCCGAAGAAGAAGAGGAAGAGGTGGAAAGTCTTAAAAGCATTCGGAAGTACCTGACCTCCAATGTGGCTTACGGGTCCACAGGTATTCGGGATGTGCACCTGGAGTTGAAGGACCTGACTCTGTGTGGACGCAAGGGCAATCTGCACTTTATACGCTTTCCCACTCATGACATGCCTGCTTTCATTCAGATGGGCAGAGATAAAAACTTCTCGAGCCTCCACACTGTCTTTTGTGCCACTGGAGGTGGAGCGTACAAATTTGAGCAGGATTTCCTCACAGTATGTATTTTTTAGCTTATATACAATTTATGGTAATCTGATTTTTTTTTAAAGATTTATTTATTTGAGAGAGAGCAGGTGGGGTGTGTGAGCGTGTGTGGAGGGGGGCAGAGGGAGAGGGAGAATCTTCAGGCAGACTCCCAGCTGAGCACAAAGCCTGACATGGGACTGGATCCCACGACCCATGACCCATGACATCATGACCTGAGCAGGAACCAAGAGTCGGGCACTCAACCACTGAGCCACCCAGGTGTCCTGGTAATCTGATTGTTAAAAATAATACCAATAGCAAGTGGTGGAATCATTTCTGTTTCTAATAGAACTTGAATTTTCTTGAGTCCGATTAAGATTAGATAGATGTAAGTGAGTGGTAGTCAGGAGTTAGCCATCTAGAGATTGTTGTGGAGTTTACTTTTTGCCCAGTTCAGATAAGTTGATGAGGATCAACCACCATAGCATTTTGTTGTTCTTCTAGTGTTGAAAAAATAGCAAAGCTGTGATAAGCAGACTGAAGAATTACCTATGAGGAACAGGTCATTAAATCTTGAACAGTGAGGGGCATCTGGCTGGCTCAGTTGGAAGAGCATGCAACTCCTGATCTTGGGGTTCTGAGTTTGAGCCCCATGTTGGGTGTAGAGATTACTATAAAAAAAACCTCTTGAACAATGAGATTGAAAAATAATTTTGGGGAGTTTGGCTGGCTCAGTTGGTGGAACATATGACTCTTGATCTCAGGGTTGTGAGTTCAAGCCCCATGCTAGGCATGGAGCCTACTTAAAAAAAATAATAGGGCGCCTGGGTGGCTCAGTTGGTTAAGCTTCTGCCTTTGGCTCAGGTCATGATCTGGGGTCCTGGGATCGAGCCCCGAGTCGGGCTCCCTGCTCAGTGGGGAGTCTGCTTCTCCCTCTTCCTGCCCCCTGCTCTTGTTCTCTCTCTCTCCTTCTCTCAAATAAATAAATAAATAAATAAATAAACCTTTTAAAAAATAATTTAAGAAAAATTTTGAAAATGTCATTTCATGTCATAAAATTGTTTCTCATCTCGTTTACCACATAATTTCTCCTGTTCCCCTCTGTTGTTTCTTGGCAAGTTTACTATTTAAAAAAAACAAGGAACTCTGGTCCAAAGCAGTGGCTTTTTGGTCTCAGGGCTGGTTGGAAATGGTTAACAGCGGAGCCTTCTCTCCCCAAATGCCTTCTGGTGCGTACCGTGCTGTGCTCTTGTAATAGGAGTCTCTGAATCATGTGTGGACACTGGGGGAGTGCCAGTGGGTACCCGCTTTTGTTTTCATTTGGTCAACACTGTGCAGAGTCGAGGCTAGGTCCTTTGCGGTGGATGTGGGGGTGAGGGGGTAGGTGGGAGAGTGGACAATGAGTTGGCCAGGACCTGGACCTTCAGGGGGCAGTATAGATTGAAAATACCTTCAGTGACCCTGTTTTTAATGTCACTAATGAGAATGTTATTCTAGAGATTCTGCCTTTGCCTTCGTCAGTTTACCTGTGTTTCCTCCATGTGTCATTGTATGGTTTGTGACCTTATCCTCTTTCTCTGTTTTCTGTCTGCTGACTTTCTCTTATCACTGACCATAATTGACATGATTTTTTTTAAGCAAGTTTCTATATTCTTTGCTTGAATTTCTTTTGGTTGTTGGTTTTCAGTGGTTTCTCTTCCACACGTGAGTAAAAGGGGAAGTGTAGCTGGAGGAGAGACGGTCCCCTCTTTTGCGGAAGCTGCATGGTGGACTCTGGATCATAACTGATAGGTAACAGAGAAATCTTTTTGCTGGGACCCTGTAGAGGTGCCCTTTGGAACATATTTGAAAATCATTCAGGTTGTTACCAGAGGTTCAGCATTGTGTGGTAATTTAAGGGGAAGGTGCAAAGTGCATTTTAGACCTCGGGAGTTGGTTCTTAGGCTGTCGGGGTTTCTCATCTATATGCATGCAACCTGTGCTGTACTTGAAAATTGTAGGAAAATGAGATGCCCATCAAATGCTGTTTGTGCATTAGGAGTGACTAGTATTTAATAAACCACAGTGAAATATTTTAAAAAATACTGAGTTTACCCTGTTTCTTTTTTAATGCAAATCAGATTTCTGAACATACTGGGTTTGCTTGTTGGTGCAGCACGTACATTATGAATACCTTGCGTTTAGTGAAATTAGCTGTGCATTCGGTCATTCTCCATTTAGAGGTGGGGATTCATTAGGAATTAGCAGGGCACTTCAGGATGACAGGAATTATAGGAAGGAAAAGGCGAGCAACGGCTTGGGCCCCCGTAGACCACGAGTGGAAAGTGATGAAAAGTTCCAAGTGGAAATGCCAGCACTTGAGATCTCGTGTCAGGAAGTCAGTTTTGAATTCATGACAGCTGGGGCACGAGCAGGTACAGTGGCAGCAGCGATGAATCCTCTAGGAGCTTGGGTTTGGTCAGAGGAATAATTTCATAGTCTTACTTAGGGATTTATTAAGGAGTAAGGTGAAGGTACCTGTTAACTTCCCTCTCTGCTGTGGATCTGAATAAATTGACGGTAAATGTAATCAAGTGAGAGTAGAATTAAAGGGGGCGAACTTGCAGGGCTAGACCTGGTTGTAAGTAGAAATCAGTGCTTTAAGCGGGTCAAGGCAGTTTTCCCTTTGCACATATACGGAGGGTCCGTGCTCGTAAACATTCATGTAGGTTAGGAGCCCAGGGAGTGAAGTGGGAGTTTCTTTCTGCCATCTCTCCAGAATCACCACTGTTAGAAGTTGACGTATCTTTCTTTTCTTTTTTTTTTTTTTAGAAGTTGACGTATCTTTCTAGTTCTCTGTACGTGACTCTGTATGACCCATACATGTGCATATAAACTTGGCTTTAGAAACAGGCAGGTAGGGTCTTTATGAAATGTTACTCAAGTTGCGTTTTTGACAACATGTCCTGGAGTTCTTCCCACTTCAGTTCTAAATTGAAGATCCTCGGGGGCCTGGGTGGCTCAGTCGTTAAGCGTCTGCCTTCGGCTCGGGTCATGATCCCAGGGTGCTGGGATCGAGTCCTGCGTCGGGTTCCCCGCTCGGCGGGGAGTCTGCTTCTCCCTCTCCCTCTGCCTGCCGCTCTGCCTACTTGTGCTCTCTCTAGCTCTGTCAAATAAATACAATCTTCGGAAAAAAAAATAAAATAAATTGAAGATCCTCTTCACTCTTAATTGCTGTATAATGCTCCCTAATATGAATAATAATCATTCCTTTATTATTTAAATGGAATGAAGTTGTAAGTTTTGAAACTGCTAAAATCTTCCCATCCTTCAGGGGCTGTAATTGGTTTAGATAGTGAAAAAATCTTGCCTTCTACTTGGACACTTTTCAGCCCTCTGATGTCTGCTTATTAATAATAAAGTGTGTCCTGCCTTGGTACTGCTTCATAGTCTTGAAGATGGTCTTTCGGAAGGGAGACGTTAGAGTCCCTGTGGCTCCTGCCACGTGTCACCAGGTGTTTGAGACACTTGAATTTCTTGGAGTCAGCTTTCTGATCGGGCTGTGATCTCACCTGGCTCCTGACTCCCAGTCCCTGAGCGTAGATCTCTCGTTCTCTGCTTGGGTCTCAGCATAAGTTTCTGGCTATGAAGGCGGTTTGTAGGTGGGGTGGAGTTGGGTCTGTCTCGTCAGTCTGTCCCGATGTGTTGTGTCCAGGTCTGTTCTGTGAATCATGCATAAATAATCCACATCTGTGAGCATTTCTGTGCTTTGTTGAATGGAGAGGAGTGCCTTATTAAGTGGAATTTTTATTTGTTTAGCCTGTTAAGTCTGAATACATTTTTATTTCATTACAGATAGGTGACCTTCAGCTTTGCAAACTTGATGAACTAGATTGTTTAGTAAAAGGAATTTTATACATTGACTCAGTTGGATTCAATGGACGGTCACAGTGCTATTACTTTGAAAACCCTGCTGATGCTGAAAAATGTCAGAAGTTACCGTTTGATTTGAAAAATCCATACCCTCTGCTTCTGGTGAACATTGGCTCTGGGGTTAGCATTTTAGCAGTATATTCCAAAGATAATTACAAGCGGGTCACGGGTACCAGGTAGGTCTTTTATATAAAGATTATTATTTATTCTTGATATCCTAATGGGTTAAAAGTGAGTTTTCAGGTATTGCATATAAGTATACTTTTAAGGATCTGTTTAAATTATGTGAAAAACATTTTTTTCTGGGATTAGGCAAACAAATAGTTTCTCTTTGAAAATTCTGGTATCATGACCTACTTTCCTTTAATCTGTATTGCTCAGGATTTCATTTTCATAGTTCTGTAAAATATCTCATTGTCAGACTCATTGAAACCCTAGTCCCTACCCTTAGGTAGTGTATGATGTGCATACACCACAAAGTTAAAGCTACTAGGTAGCATCTCTAAGGAGAAGGCAAGGCAAGATCCCAGCTTTGAAACCGGCCTAGATTTTTTTTATTTTTAAAGATTTTATTTATTTGAGGGAAAGAATGAGCGGTGGGGAGGGCCAGAGGAGAGAGAGAGACAAGCAGACTCCCGGCTGAGCAGGGAGCCCAGTGTGGGGCTCAATCTCAGGATCATGACCTTAGCCAAAGGCAGATGCTTCACCAACTGAGCCACCCAGGCGCCCCTGGCCTAGATTTTATACAGGCAGGCGTGTGTGCGCACATGTACCCACCCACCCACGGGATGGTCTGAGATCTGGAAGGTGAGGTACTGAGCAACAGAAAACTGAGTGGGGGAGGGCAGGCTGAAAAGGAAGGAGGGGTGGCAGGCAAGAATGAATGTGTTGTGGTTTAAGGATTAGGGATCACTTGCGGCAGAACAAGGAGCTGGGGATTGGGATAGACCAGGTTTTTTTTAACAGGTGTGAATTAAAAAATGAGATGAGTAATTTGGGGGGAGAAACACATTAATGGAGGAGTTCTTTGTGGGGTGGGGTTGCTGATGAGCCAGGGTGACCAGAGTTTGGAGAGACAGAGGGAGGGAGGTGCTAGCATGGCCTGGGTGTGGCCGGCGGATCTGCACCTCAGGCTCCTCACACTCAGCAGATGCTCAGACTGTACTGGGGCCGTGGGGGCCGGGGGGTGGGGCCGGGGGCGTGGGCCCCGTGTTTTGCCATTTCGCTTGTTGGCTCATGTGAATATGCATCTATCAAGGTATATATCAGGTACCTTGTTTTTTATCTTTCCACAGGCTTGCCTGCCAGAGGCGTCTGCGTGATTAGGTTGGGGCAAGAGTGGGTTGATATATGAATGTGGTTTTGGGTTCATAAATATTACCTTCCTGTTCTTATTTTTTAAAATGTTGTAATACTGTGTTGTTTGTTTTTAATCAGTCTTGGAGGAGGAACTTTTTTTGGTCTCTGCTGTCTTCTTACGGGCTGTACCACTTTTGAAGAAGCTCTTGAAATGGCGTCTCGTGGAGATAGCACCAAAGTGGATAAACTAGTTCGAGACATTTATGGAGGGGACTATGAGAGGTTTGGACTGCCGGGCTGGGCTGTGGCATCAAGGTAAGGGGGTGTGTGTGTTCTAAGAAAAATGGGAATAAGATATTAAGTACTGGGTGTATCTTTTTCCTTTTAAACAGCTTTTATTGAGCTATAATTTACATACTATAAAGTCACCTGTTTAAAGTGTAAAATTTAGTGGTTTTTAGTATATTTACCAAATTGTGGAGTCCTCACCATAATGTGATTTCAGTACATTTTCATTATCCCAGAAAGAAACCTTCTGTCCATTAGCTGTCATTCCTCATTTCCCCACCTTGGTCCTTGGTAAATACTAATATATTTTCTGTCTTTATAAATTTGCCTATTCTGGACACTTCATATAAATGGTGTCCTATAATATGAGATTTTGGTGACTGGCTTCTTTCCACTTAGCATGTTTTCAAGGTTCATCCATGTGGTAGCATGGATCAGTACTTTGAATCTCCAGGTGAATTTTAGGATAACCTTGTCAGTGGCTGCAAAAAGGCCGCTGGGATTCTGACAGGAGTTGCGTTGGATTTGTAGCTCACGTTGGGGAGTGTTGCCATCTTCACATCATCAAGTGTTCTGATCTAAGATATAATGTCTTTCCATTTATTTAGAGTTTTGCTTTTCTTTTACCTATGTTTTATGGTAGTGGTTTTCAGTGTACAGTTGTTATACTTCTTTCGTTAAATATATTTCTCAGTATTTTCTCTTTGATGCTATTGTAAAGGGAATTTTTTTTATTTTTAAGATTTTATTCATTTGAGAAAGAGAGCGTGAATGAGCGGGGTGGGGGGGGGGAGGAAGAGGGAGAAGCAGACTCCCCGCTGAGCAGAGAGCCTAACTCAGGGCGATCCCAGGACCCCAAGATCACGAGCTGATGAGCCGAAGGCAGATGCTCAACCGACTGAGCCACCCAGGCACCTCGGGGATTGTTTTTTAAATTTCATTTCCGGATTGTTTAGAAAAAGAGTTGTTTTCTGTGATTTTTTAATCATAGAAAAAGGACCACACATATACATGCTTGCAGACTAATTTCAGGGACTTTGTAAATGCTGTCGATGCCACATTCTGAGTTTGCGGCATTTGTGCATTATTAATCCTTTCCATTTCTGATCGGGTTTGTGTTCTGCTCACAGTTATTAATGTAGCAGTTCTGCTGGTCAGGTACTTGGAAGTACTTTATCTTCTAGGGAAATCTGAAACTCTTAAGGAGTTTACTCTGGGACTCCACTGTCTGCGCTTTTGCTCTGCTCTGACGGAGCGGTTTCCCAGACAGACTGTGGCCGTTCAGCCGAGCCGAGTGGCTGTGCACTTGGGATTGAATTGCCAGTAGAGGTGTCTTTCTGGAATTGTCCCTGGCTGCAGAAGGAGCAGTGGTGCCTTAGAGTGGATCTGATGAGATCCTAACTGGATGTGTGGAGATCTATTATCAAAGCTAGATTTCAGTAGAAGCTGCCGGGAAAGGCATTTGCTTATTCAGAACGCTTGAGGGCTTTCTTCCGAGTTGTTTCTCTTTGAGCAGATGCTCTGTTATTTTGTAATAAAAAGTTTGAAGATTTGAACAATGTCACATTTATCTTAGTAGAGTAACATTTAAGTTCTGTTGGGCTGTGTTGCCTTTGGTTCAGCTGCTGGGTATTTTCTTTCCCTTCACAGCTTTGGAAACATGATGAGCAAGGAGAAGCGAGAGGCAGTCAGTAAAGAGGACCTCGCCAGAGCAACACTGATCACCATCACCAACAACATTGGCTCAATAGCAAGAATGTGTGCCCTGAATGAAGTAAGGGGACGTGGATTTCTTTAGATGCTCTGAGGAAAATACAGAACGTACTAAGGGGCCTCGCCTGGTGTACGACGTCTGTCTTGTCTGGACGGTGCCTCAGTGTAGTTGTGCGGGGTGGAGTTCTTTTCATTGGGGAAGTTAAAGCTCTTCAGATGTAGACTCCTCTTCACTGATGTTTTTTTTTTTTTTTTCCTCCCCCCTCCCCCTCAGTGAAGATAAATATTGCCACTATCTAGAAGTAAAAGTACATCCTTCGGGGAGAAAGTAGGAAGGCAGGAAAGCAGGCAGAACTCCGGGTGACAGGGACTGGGGGTGGCGGTGACGGATAGCAGCTGGCCAGAGGTCCCGTGCTCCCCGCGGAGCCCTGCAGTGCTGGGAAGGCCTCTGGAGGAAGCCGCTGAAGCTGGAGGAGTCCCGGCGGCCCAGGAGTGCCCGCCCTCCCCGCCAACGCTGAGCTGTCTTTGTGCTTTCAGCTTCTTTACAGTGCTGCCTTGTAGCATTCGGGTCAAGCAGCATTGTACAGGGCTATGAAAGCACCGAGAGCGGCCTTCCCGGGGGGCCCGGAGGGTGCGGCTCTGCCGCGTGTCCCCGCTCACACAGTTGTGTTTACAGTTACTCTGTGCAAGAGAGGATGTAGGCATGTGGCTTCAGAAGGAGACTTTGAAAGGTACAGAAAGCCTGTCTCGTTTTTAATTAAAAAGATACTGTATCAGCATCAAGTAATTAAAAACATTCTTCATTCGGATATGTTAAAGTTACTGTTTCCTTTATTGCATGTTCCTCTTCCTGTACGTACGTATTTTAAGATCGGTTAGTTGGTGTGGGTGTACATACCATGTTATATTTTTTACCTAAATACTTAAAATTTCACTGCTGTATATTTGATTTGTTTTTATATCATAAATCACATGGAGCTGGGCATTTGGTTGCTTGGCACTGATCGCTCTGCAGGAAGGCATTTTTTAAGTGTGAAGCTTTTCTTTGGTTGCATTTTATTCCTGATAAGGGACTTACTCTGGAGTGAGGTTTCTCCTCTAAAGAATATGACCGTGCTTGGGAGTCTTGGTAGGTATTGCCAAGGCGCTTTTCACAAGGGTTGTACTGATACAGATCTCTGTAGCACTGAATGAGTGGATCAGTGTTACCATAACTTGGCTCATTGTTGGGGGTGGAATTTCAGTTCTGCTTTTAATAGGTTTAAAATGCTCCTTTCTTTGACTGCTGTTGGGGGTTCAATTTTTTCCTATTATATTTCTTGTATAATTTGCTTGTTTGTGTCACTTTCCTTCTTTGAATTGGGGTCTTTTTTTTTTTTTACTTTTCTGTATAAAACTTTTACTTTAATAGCAGTTACTGTTTGTCATATTTAATACAAATGGTTTTCCTAATTTGTTTTCTCTTGTGACATTTTCTGGCATGGTTTGAAGTGGGTAGGTCCAGAGTTATCTGGGTTCAAATTTAAGTAGCCTTGGACCAACTGGATGAGATGTAAATACTTTTTTTATTTTTTGCTCAGCAGTCAAGTTGCTGCTAAAAACCATGCACATGGTGCTCTGTTTGGGGTAGCTTTTACGAGAGAACAGAAGTTAAGATGAAAACTAATTGCCTTTTTTTGATGTGCTCAGAACATTAACCAGGTGGTATTTGTTGGAAATTTCTTGAGAATTAATACGATCGCCATGCGGCTTTTGGCATATGCTTTGGATTATTGGTCCAAGGGGCAGTTGAAAGCACTTTTTTCGGAACACGAGGTAAGCGGACTTATTTCTTGTGATAATGTTAACAAACGTAAAGGGCATGCAATTCCCACTGCGTTGGAACTTGACGTAAATGTTGAAGTGGACTGCAGTTCTTATTTTTTTGTGAAAATATGATACGGGGTTTAACTTTGATTGTAATGTTCAAGAGCTATTTCTTACCTGATTTAATGCAAGAGAAATTTTTGGTTAATTTAATTGTGAGCTTCAGCAATTTGAAAGAAATCTTGATGAACACCTGTATTTCTAAGGTTATGTTCTTTTCTGAACCATCCTTTATATTTTTCCCATTACACTTATTTTGTAAATGCATTTACTCTGGGTTCTGCTTTTTTCATTTTGATGTCAGTTTTTATGTGTTGATACAGTTCATGTGCCACTTATTTAAGATGTATGTTCTAAAAACAAACAAAAATATATTCCAAGGTTAGAACCACACTGTTATAAGAACTAACACCTAGACAGGCTAGAAATGACCAAATGGAAGAGAATCACTGAATCGCTGTACCTGATACCCTATATGGGAAAGTGCCTTACTGTTTTTCCAACTTGGGGAAGAAATAGAACCATAGCTGAGGAGGGGGACCTCTCTTCTGTCCCCTTGGTTGTGGGGTAGTTGAACTATTTCCAGTGTTGTTGGATTTTAAATAGTGTTATCATGAACATTTTTCAGAATTGTTTGTGCGCATTTACTTTGACAGTAGTATTTACCGGACTTGACAGAACATGATCTGAAGTGCTGCCCAGGCGGCGGCTTCCCTTCAAAAGTTGCTCTTTTTCCTTTTTAAGTGGCTTAAGTTCCTAGTTAAAATTCAAAGTACACAAGTTCCCCTTGTCAAAAAGCTTAAAGTGTAGTCATCTAATATTTTAGCTTTGACTTTATTAAACAGTTCTTGACTGAATACACCTGACGTGGAAGGCCGCGTCCGCCTCAGGCTTGCGCCGTGTGAGCGCCGGCTCTGGCTCTCCGCCCCCGTGCTGCTCCTTGTAGGTTGGAGCCTCGAAGCTTTTTTTACTTTTAATCTTATTAATCAGCCGGTACCCAGTTATCATTACGTTTCTTCTTTATCTTACCTCTTGTCATCTTTGACCGGTTTTATTTTGCTTTACGTTAGAATGAAAAGAAACCCTCTCTCCCGTCACATCGCAGTAGAACTTTCCTCCCGCTCCATTTCTGCCTCTGGGAAACCTTTTCCCGGTGGAACGCCGAGACTCACTTCCTCGGGTAACTTTGGTTTCATCTTCACACCGTAACAGTTAGGATTTGAGCACTTTCTGTGGAGTCGCGGTGGACATCTTGTCGGCCTCCCTGCCGGCGGCCTTCAGCTTCCGCCCGACTCTCGGCGGGCCCTGCTTCCCCGCTTGCCGGGGCGCCCCGGCCTCCCGGCCTCCCGGCCCCCTCCCCCCGGCCTCCCGGGCCCCCCCGGCCTCGAGCGTCGGCCGCTGCGCTCGCGCGCTTGGCCGCCCTGGGCTCCCGCTCGCTGCCGCGGGCCGTGTGACCACTCGGCGGCGGACGCGGACGGGACGGGTGGCCGTCGGCCTTTCTCGGCCTGCGTCCCCGCTCTCGTCTTCGCGTCCGGTAGCTTGTAACAACCGCCCCCTCCTGGGTGCCGGGTCCTCAGGGCAGCTCGTGTGACGGTTAACTTCCTCTCTCCTTTTGCTGCTCGGGACGCCGCGGAAAAGGGCGGCGTGCCAGCCGTGACGGTGGACCCGCGAGCCCGTCGCCCGGCCGTCCCCCCTCCCGTTCAGCCGGCGGCCCGTGCGGTTGCCGGCCACCTCGCGTCGCACACATCGTGCGGCTGCCTGTTTTTAAGGCCGGGGAGCAGCGAGAGGAGACGCTTCAGCTCCTGCCGTGTGTGGCACTTTTCTTGGAGCGGTTTGCCTGGGGCACCGGGCTGGACCTTCCCGACTTACCATGGAGACTCTTATTAGCACCTTCTTCTCAGTCCGGGGGCAGGTCTTTCAGGATCTTCCCACTTCCCTTTTTCCGGTCATGTCTCTCTTTCCGAGAGTGCTTGATTCATCGTCCCTTGGAGATCTTGATGGGTTCTAGAGCGCTGGAGGGTTGCCCTCTGCTCTGAGTCCTGCTGGCCCGCTCTTTCTACCCGCGCGGGTTTTGTCTCATTTTGTTACATTCAGTCCCCTTCTTTTGCTTTTCTTTTCTGGTTTTGGGTTTTAAGGTCTTGGTTCTTGGTTGTATTTAACTTTGACTTTACTTACTTCTGGAGATGGTCCAACATTGTCTTCCTTCAGCTGCTGCTTGTCTTTTCCATGCCTCTGCCCTCCCTGCGGGCTCTTCTGTCCTGTCCTTCCTTGCCATGGTGCTTTTCCATCTGTGCCGCCCTCTTCATGTCGCATCGGGGCACTCTTGTCCACTCTGCTCCCCGCCTCTGCCCGTGCTGCCCTGACTGCTGCTTTGTTCCGGATCCAGGGCATCCAGTTACTGCCTGGCTACGGCCACTTGGCTGCCGTGGGCGGCCTCGCACAGTCTCTTGCTCGTGTGTCCCCGTTCTCAGGGGCGCGGTCGCCAGATGCAAGGGAAAGACCTAAACCTCCCTGCTGCCCTCTTCCCCTTCTTCAGGCAGGTCTTGAATCCATTCCACCCTCTTCCCATTCTCCCTTCCATCCCCAGCTCGGTTAGGCCCTCCCCCTCTGTGACCGGCCCCGAGCCCTCCCTGCTCTGTTGCACTTCGCGTCCCATCCTCCCTTCATTCCTTAGTTGTCTGGCGAGGCTCCGGGCCTCTGCTGCTTCTCCCCTCGTCCTTCTGCAGGAGACAGCCCCGCCATGGGCTCCTACGGAGGTCACCGGGCCGCCGTGGGCCCCTAGCTCCTGCAGCCCTCACCGCGGGCTTTGGTCTCACATGCTGACCTGCTGGGGTGTCTTGGACATCCAGCCCTCCTCCCCAGCCTGGGAGCCCTCAGAGCTTCTCTGCTCCCAGGCTGGCCTTGGGCTCAGCAAAATGGGTGCTCAAGGAATGGGTGTCAGGAATTAAGGGCCCTCACTGTTGGCTTTAATACTAGTGATCATTTATGGTAATTTAAATAAGTCTAAGGAAAATTGCTCTCATTTTTGGTGTACTTTTTTTTCAGGGTTATTTTGGAGCCGTTGGAGCACTCCTTGAGCTGTTGAAGATCCCCTGATCGTTACCTGGGGAGGGGTTCCTGGAACATTCCACAATGGGCTCTGTGAACTTTTGTTTTTTAAGAGACTTACTCAATTTTATGATTGTGTACTACCCGAATCAAAGCAAGAAAGGACAAGTGTATTTTTCTAAGTCATCAAGATAAATCCTTAAAAATTCAGTCTAAACTAGTAACCAGTAAGGAAAGATACATATGTAAAAAAGTGGACCATGTCCATGGCAGTGAGGATCTTCTGCTGTGTTGAAGTTGCTCTTCAGTATAGCTTTGTTAACCTGCCATGTATTTTTAAAATTCAGTGTCACTTACTGGAGCCACTTCAGGGGAGCTGTTCTGTGTTCAGCTGACTGTGGTTTTGTGTCCTGTTGAACTTGCTAGATGTAAGGCAAGCACTGTATGTTGTAACCTAATCACAATGTTGTCAATATGGCCTTGGAGATCATCATCTGTGCATTAACTGTGGTGTGCATTTAGCCTTTTGTGTGAACATACTGAAAAACATGTTTTATTTCAAGGATCTGCAAACTTGATTGGGCAGAGTAATTCTGTATTTGTAACTTTGGCAATTAAGCAACTTTCGGAAGGGCAGTTCCAGGTTACTCTACACTGCAAGTCCTGAGAAGGTCTGTTTGGAAAGATGGGGCTTAGTTTACCCTGGGCAGAATTTCCTGGGGGGTGGGGATGGGGGCTGGGAGGTAATTTGGTCTTAAGTGAGTTAAGCTAGTAGAAAAAACACCACCTGGAAGACTAAAACCAGACAGAAGGGGCCTCTTGAATTGACATCTTTTCAGGGAATCGAGAATTTGGTTGTTTCGGGCTGGTAGAAAGTGAGGAATTGAAGTCCACTGATTTAACTCATGGGGAGCAGGGTGGGGTACTTCTGCCTTCCCCTCCCACTTGGGGTCTGAAATTGCCAGAAATTGCCAGGCAGCCTGGCTCGGTAGGACTGCGTGAGAGCTGCACGTGCAGGCTCAAAAGGTAGCATGATTAGAGTCAGGTTTTAAGATGGAGTCTTGGTAGATTGACTTAGAACGTTTTTTTCTGCTGTGCAGAATAATTTAAAAAACTCTTCCCCTTGGAGATAGAGCAGCGTTTTATTTTGTGTATTTTTGTATCTGCATCTCTGTTGAAGGCGATGAAGGGTCTGTATAAAATCAGCCTTTGAACCAGAAGGAAACCCCAGCCTCCTTGGCGCCTGGGCAGGGGGGGAACCTGGAGGGAAGGTTCCCAGGGTCGCCGAGGGAGGAGGGTCGGATCCCTCGGCACCCCTTGTGTTGGCCGCGTGGGGGCAGCAGAGGCGCGTAGCAGCCGAGCTCGGCGGCGGCCTGCGGGGCCCGAGCGCCGTTTCCCAGGGCACGTCCCGCCCCTTCACGCAGTTGGGCGCCTGTGGCTTGTGGGTGCTGCCAGCCTGGCGCAGGCGGAAGGGCTGGAGGGACGCTGCGGGGATGGGACTGGTGGCCCCTGGGTGGCGATCGGCTTCTCTGCTGCTGCCAGCCCTCGTGGCGCTCGGGGCCCTCAGACGCGTTCCCCACGGCCTCCAGAGACAGCGTCACTACCCACTTGCGGCTGCACAGTCGTGCTTCCGGGGCCCCTTGGGGCCCGGGCCTCTCCGCTTGCTCCCCTCCGGGACGGTAGCCTGGTGCGTCAGCCGCGAGTTCCTGAGTCGAACGGGCATCGCCTGGCCTCGTCGTCAGTTCTGGCGGCTCCTGCCCGGCGCGCTGCCGCTCCTCAGAGGACGCAGCGGCAGCCCGGCCCCTCCCAGCCCCTGCCGCCTTCCCCTGTCGCCGCGGAGTGTCCCTAAGGCCATCCCTGCACAGTCTCGTCCCGAGCCTGATCCCAGTTTCCGGCCACTTCACTCCCTCCGGCTTGTGAGGTGCGTGTAAGTAAACTCCCCTCTCCAGGTGCCCCGGTCCTGTCCTGGCCGGCCCGTCGCGAGGGGGCCCGAGGGGCTCCCCCCCCCCCCCCCCGGCAGTGTGTGTCGGGGGGGAGGGGTGGCCCAAACCAAGATGGGCGAGGAAGGCGCCGAGGGCCGAGGGCTGGCGCGTGGAGGCTGGCGAGGGGGGCGGGAGTCCCGGTGAGGGGATCCAGGCTTGTTGGGGAGGCTTGGTTTGGGACTGTGTGATTGAGACCAAAAAGGCAGCTATCTTAATGGGAGATTCCAGGCCCGGGAGGGCTGTGTGTCTGGGTGGGAGTTCGTGAGTGTGAAGGTAGAGGGAGAACAACCGTTACAAGGTGGGCAGAGAAGGAGAAGGCTGCAGAGAGGTGGCCCAGCGAGGGCCGGCGGGGCTGGGCCCAGGCCGCAGAGGGGGAGGGGTTCCCCGGCACCTGCCTTCAGAGGAGGTTTGGGCCGCGGTGCCCATGTGTGGCGGGTCCGGATAGCCTTGAGGGGAGCGCTTTTCCTCCAAGCTGTGGGGCCAGAGCTGAGCTGCAGGGGTCCCAGTGAGGGGTGGTGAGGAGAAATGGCAGTCGCCACAGGGTGACTTTGGATCAAGAGAGGTTTTTTCCTTCTAAGGGAATAGGTGGTATTTCCAAGCCTGAGGTGTAGCTAGAGGGGTGGGGTGGGGCTAGTTCCCCCACCTCGGTCCCGCCCCCGCCAGGCACACCAGGGCTGCGCATCGGTGAGACCGCTGGTGTGTCCAGCCTCACTGTGCCCTGGTGCTCCAGCCTTCACCCTTGACCCCGCACCCCCCCCCCCCCCCACGGGAGGGTGCAGGCTGAAAGCTCGCCTTCATCACAGTCCCATGTTGCTGGTGACCAGCTCACTTTGATCAGAGCCACTCACCTTGGCTTTGCAACTCTTGCTACACAGGCTGAAGTGGGGTGTAGGTGACCTCAGGCCCCTCTGAATGACAGGGTGCATACTCAACAGACAGTATTTTCAAAACCTTTTTTATTTACATTTGTTTACTTCAATTACATGCATGTTTTGTTTTTAAAACAGGAGTAATTAGCCCAAAATGCATTAAAATTTTAAAATAGCAATTAAATATACAAAAATATAGCTTACAAAAAACTGCGAATGTTTAAAAATATTCTGCTGCAGAATTCTTAGTGTACAAACATGTCTATGAAACCTGAGGCTCAGCATTTCATAAACCTTTTTTTTGAGGGAGTTATACAAGATCTAGTGAAGAAAACCCAGGGGGCTAAATAAACTACAGGATTTAAACTACCCCATTCCTGGCAATGATGTCAAGAAACGCAGAGACGACAGTATCAGGAACACTCTTGGAAGACCAGGCCCTCACCAGGAGAGACTTCCCTAATCTTGGCCCTGCCTGCTCTGGCAGGGCCTGCGAGGGAAGGGGCACATGGAAGGACAGTGCAGCTGGCCCTAGACACAGGTCCCCCAGGCTTGTACTGGCACAGCGAGTGGAGAGGAGCTTCATCAAACTACAGACAGGTCCCTTGACACTGGTGGGGACCACATTCGAGGTCCATGTCCCTGAAGCAGGGTGGGTGTTCTCCCTGACCCGAGAGCCACAAAAGTGAGCACTAGATTGGTAAGCCAAGGGTGCGATGCTTGGTCTAGAAGTGGAACAAAACTATTTGCATCTTGCAACAAGTTGGGCTCTAAAGGGGAACAAACTGTATGAGCCCCGTTTTTCTCCTGTTGTTCTCACTCAAACGGAAGCACATTCCATGGCATATGGGATCTTCCGTTCATCTTATCTACTAAAGATAGATTTGAACTGCAGATTTCACCAGAATTTAGACATTGTGAATTGAGACACGTTCATCTCTTTTACTTAAAATTCGTAATGGCCAATGCGGAAGACATTCTAACCCAGAACGAGATACTCAAGTAACAGAAAGTGGCTTTTCACATACAATTCCTTTCAAGTTTCAGGTTAGGGGCCCAAGCTGCACTTTTAATCCAAGGGAAGGCAGGACGCCAGGGAAGTTGGCAAGGACCGAGGCAGGAGTCCACGCCCCTCCCCGCAGAGCTGCCTGGAGGAAGCAACTATATCTCCTGCAGGGGCAAAAATGGACTTAAGACTTTTTTTTTTCTTTAAAGAAAAGATGACTGGTGGAGTAATTTCTATTGTCAAATGGAGAAGATTCTGTGGGAAGCATTTTCTTTTTAATGTGTGCATAAAGTGGGGTGGGAAAGGGAGCAGAGCGCAGACACTGAAGTGTGTGTATCTATGGTTAATTTGGAGGAGACGGCCCATCTACCTGCTTAGCATCATCTGAGACATCGCCCCCCACCCGCCAAGGCTGCCTCAGGCTTCAGTTGCTGCTGCTTCTCAAATCCCTGCCTCAAGAAACACAGGAGCTCGCCTAAGAAATCATGGCAGTTGTAGCCAGACATCACCCCGTCAGATGGGGTTTGGTGGGGGCGGGGGCAGCTTGTCCAGGCCCTGCAAAGGCTGCTGGACCTGGACCAGAGGCCTGCATTGCTGCTGTCAGCAACAGAGCAGAACCTGCTCTTCAGTGTCCATCACAGGCCAGAAAGACAGTCTGGAAACTGGTTGTGCTTGCATATTATCTGAGCATCTGTGTGGTAAGGGCCACGGAGGGATTGCTGTTTCTGCTTTGTATGGAAAACTAGAATTCCAGTATGCTGCAATCAATAAAAAAATAATGCCTTATTCAAAAAGGAATGTGACTGCAAAGACATCCCTCAATTATGGGCTCCCCTTTTACAGATACTCTGCCTTCTGGGATGGCTCTTCCCCCATGAATAGGAATGCTCCTTGGATATACTTGTCTGGTATAAGTTAAAAAAAAAAAAAAAATTATGTAGACACACAAGCACACGTGTATACATACACGTGCGTATTTATCTGTGTATGCATAAATGGTCTCTGGAAGGATCTACCTGGAACAAACTAAGAGTGGGAGTTCAAGGGCTGATAAAGTTGGCCTTGCCAGGTCAGGAATGCAAGGAAGACTTGAACTACACGAAGGGATTACCTACTCAAAAACTTAAGGAATAGCACTCAGGGAGCACAATGGGCAAAGCTACATGGAAGTGACTAGGGAAGATCATGAGGCAAAGGAAGGGACCCAGGCAAACCCAGACCCCAGGGGGAGCCCCTGTCCCTCAGGAGGCTCCTGCTGAGGTTTTGTTGCTTACCTGGACTACACAGGAGCCCCACGTTACCTGCATAATGATGCTGCCTATAATCAGGAGCTTCCATGACCCCAGGTCTACTGCCCACCAGGCTTTGGACGTGGCTGGTCCGCACAAGAACCAGCAAAGATGTTACTACGGTTCTTAGGTGGTAGATAAGGGAACGAGCTTTGAGAGGCTAAGTTGCATAAAGACACATGGCTGGTGAATGGCAAGGGGTGATTTCAAATCACTCTGAGCACTTTTTCTGTCCAGAGCTCTAGGGATGCCTCCCTGTATTCATTTTGTAATTCTCAGCCTTTCAGAAAATTACTACAGTTGTTCAGAATAGCTTAGCAGAGCAGGACCAGGCCATGGAGGTGACAGGCTTTGAAGTGGGGCTGTGGAAAGGGGCAAATCATTCTTCTGATGGGCCCAAGGGACTTGGCACTGGGGAAAAGGATCTGCATTTGTCAAGACGTCAAGAACAAGCTAACTGGCAATGATGGGATGTTCCCTGTATTCTTCCCCCGCCAGACTTCCCATGGGCCATCTGCTCCCATCTGGCCATTTTGTTCTTGTCCTTTCCCTGCCTCGGTGGGCACAGACTAGAAGGACCTTACCTGCTAGGGACAGGCCCAACCAAATCACACTTTGGCAAAGGAAAGCAGCAGAGGACAGTATCTTATGCCTACTCATTCAGGAATCAAGTCAGGCTGGTTTTGTTCCCTGTTTCCTGCTTCTAAAGCCAGCTGTAGTCAGCTGTAACCCTAGCAGTAACTAGATAATGATGCAGCCACCCATGGAGTTCAGTTGGGGCTGAGTTACGTTCTTTGAACCCACAGCATACAAATAACATCCAATCTTTGAGCTGCTTAAGACACATTAAGAGAAAGTAAAAAACCGCCATGTCACCAGCCAGTGGCCCCAAAGCAGACAGACCAAAGACCCTGTGTGTCTACAGATTAACAAAAGGTCACCACCAACTCACCAACAAAAGACAGATGTGGCCAAAGTGGCCTCACTCTAAGGTATAAGCCTGTGCCAAGATTATTAGGGGATCCTTAACTCATTCTTTAAAAAGGCTCCAGATGGAGATGTAACCTTGTCCACAGAAAGCTGTTTTAACCAGAATTCAAGGAAGATGTGAGTGAAGCGCAGGCCGCGGGCAGGCACGGCAGCACAGCAGAGAGTGCTGGAGGAGGACCTGGACGCGGGGAGCAAGTCCATTCAGGGTGTGTTGCTGAGAGTCGCAGGAACTACTGTGCGTGGCCCTGGCCAAGCTGCAGTGAGACAGGAGCCAAGAAATGAGAGGAGCTCGAGCAGAGGGAACACGTTTCCCGCCCCCTGCCCAGCCCCACCCTGGCAGAAGAGCTGTGTTTACCAAGCCCTCTGCACTCACGGGTGTCGAGGTCACGTTGGCGGTACCTCGTGCGGGTTGGAGCCCGGTGGAGAGCGCACAGCATTCTTGAGCTTTCCTCTAACGGCCGGAGCTACGCACCCACCCTGTCAACCTGCGCTTCCTGTAATACAGGAAACGAACTCCTCTACCTCCCTGCCCATACAGGGACTTGTGGGGTTGGTCTCCTCATACTGACGCACAGGGACAGAAAAACGCCGCAGCTGATCAGTTAGAATCCTGCTTGAAGCTGTGAGCTGAAATCATTTGCGGTTTAGAGCACGAGAATTCCTCTGAGGGGAAAAATTCTCTTTCCTGTTTGAACCCCGCAATGACAAGGTGAGATTTGTCCCAAGGCCACTCCATGGGAAATGGTGGGTGTTGGCCACTAATGAGGCTAGTCCAGGCTTGCTTCTGACACTGGTCACTGGAAACCTTTCACTGTAAACGGGGTGCTTTGCAGCATTCCGCTCCACTGTGCTACCGATACAGAACGCAGAAACGACGAGAGGAGGAATGCACGAAAAGTCCTTTTCAAGGATGCCCAACAGGCTAAGGCTTTCATATAAAAATATCCCACACTTCCTTGCCCTGTTTAAGCAGCAGCCAGTTGGCGTGCCATGAATAGGTCACACGGAGGAAACAGCCAATTCTGACCAACTGGATGTGTAATTTTCCAAGCTGGATTCTGCCCAGCACCTTCCTCGGCTAGTGGGAATTTTCCTCCTCCTCTGGCCTCAGCCACCTGAGCCAAGGACAGGTTCCCTCTCCCATTCTAAGATGGTAGAGGCTAGATTCCAGAAAAAAATCCCTGGAGACATGCTGTGAACAGAGTGGCAAAGCTTCCTCCATCCGCTCTCCATGCGGACCACATTTCCAATGAGAAACTGTCCCCCTCACACCTGTGGAATGAGGCAGAGCTGTTGACAAGGAGTCCACCCTATGACAGAAGGAGGGCTGTGGAAAAGAACTTTCTATCTGACCCAAAGCCACTTCAGATAGCTAATTTGTACAGTATTCATGAACCCAAATGGATGGCGTCATTTCTAGAAAAGTTGGACAGAAGAGCTAAAGAGCAGCATGCATTTCTCTCCTATAAAGACATTTTCAGTTACTTAAGTCTGAAGAGTGAGGCACACACCAGCGGGTGAAGAGCCCTGCAGTGGCTTCCTGACACTACTTACAATTTCAAGTGGATCCCCGGCTTCAGAATTACATAATTACATAAGGATCTTATTTGAGATGCTTTAAATTGTTAAAACGTCAACGACAGGCATTTTCTCTTAAGTAGAAACAGGGTCAGAGGGAAGAGAACAGGGAAGGAGGGGGGAGAGGAAGGGGTCAGCATCCTCTCATCTCAGCGGGGCCTGGAGGACTGGCCGTTCCCAGGAAGGAGCCCCCCTTGGGAGCCATCTGAGGGGCTCACAGCAGCTCCTTACCAAGGCAGTGGGCTGAGACTAGCAGCTGTGCTGGAAGCACAGTGCACGCGGGGGTGCGGGCAGCACCCTGAGGTCCCGTGGGTCACACAGGAACAGCATGGGCTCAGAGGCCCGCCCCTGGCTCAGGCTCCTGATGGGCAGCTTGGCCGGGCCTCACTGGGGAGTCAGGGGGTAAATAAGAGGAAATGGCTTCTGACCAGGCCTTTCCAAGCGCATCTAATGTTTTTAGATGATATGATAAGCAAGTGTCGTGAACTTGAGGGAGAAGGGGTGGCAAGGGGCACTGCTGCTCTGTGGTAACCAAAGCCCTTGGGTTCCAAGATGACCTTACCAAAGGAACATACTGTGAAAAGCCTTGCTGGCACTGCCTCACCAATCACTGGCAAGCAGTCGTGCTTCAGCTGAGGTAACGGCTGGTTTTACTTGGCTCGGGCTGCCGGGAGGGTCTGCTGCTGCAAAGGCATGCACCGTCTGCATAGAAGCTCATCTGTCCACAGGGTGGGGGGCGGGGGGGGCTTTAAAGACCTGCCCTCAGTTCCCTTCTCTAACAGTTCTGTTTATCTTCCCTTCTGCTTGATAAAGATTCACCTTGATACGGAGATAAGTATCTGGGAGACAGAGTGATGGCATCAGCAAGAGACCCTCATGAAATTTCTTGAACATAACCGGAAGGCTCATCTGTCATCCACTCCTCTTCTCTTGGCATGGGGTAGTGGCAGCGTGCTTTGGTTGTCACAAGACCCAGAAGTCTGGGTTTCCAGCTTAGCTGGCCCGAGTTCTTCATGAGGCAAAGGAAGTGGCAGCTGGTGCCCCCGGTAGAGCAGCCAACACAGAGACCGCTTGTGTTCCTCCTGGCTCCACGTGGACGTCGGATCCCGCAGCAGTTTGATCCTTGGGGGAGCTATACAATGTTCTCTGCCCCGGGCAGGGGCCCCTGTGGGGGTCCACGGTCCTGCTTACTGTGCAGCTGCGCGAGCTGCAGAACTGGCATGTTGCACAGCGGACACACCTTCCGAACCTCCAGCCACTTAATAAGGCACCTGCAAAGCAAGACAACACAGGAGGAAGTCAGTCCCATGCTTGTGGCGCCTCCTGCCCACAGGCCTCATTGAACACTGCTGTCCCTCGTAGCCAGGGGCCTGTGTGAACACTCTGGTCCCAAACAGCTCCACCAGCAGCTCCTCCAAAAGGGGATACTAAGAAACCACAGTCAGCATGCTATATCCTCAAATTATCCATGACGTGTTAATGAAGTACACTGAGGATGGTGGTGGGAAGAAGAAGAAACAAAAGTTTTTAATAGAAATAAAAACACAAAATTGTCAGAGAAGAGGGAATACTACTATGTCTGCATGGCAGATGGCCTCACTCTACCATTTACATTCATACTTTATTTTGATTTAAAATAATGATGGTTTTGATTAAAGTAAGTTTTTAGGAATAGAAGCTCTCATTGAGGGGTGCCTGCGTGGCTCAGTCATTAAGCGTCTGCCTTCGGCTCAGGTCATGATCCCAGGGTCCTGGGATCGAGCCCCATATCGGGCTCCCTGCTCAGCGGGAAGCCTGCTTCTCCCTCTCCCCCTCCCCCTGCTGTGTTCCCTCTCTCGCTGTGTCTCCCTCTGTCAAATAAATTAAAAAAAAAAATAGAAGCGCTCATTGGAAAGTTTCAGTTAAGTAGCTGTTTATAGCCTGGGCTCTAAGGAGGTGTGGGCTTATCTGGCCGTCTGCCTGAAGTCCTGCCTGGTGGTCATATTCCACCACCCTGATCCCTCCTAAATGTCACGTGTACACACACACACACCCCTCACCCTTAGGGTACGTTCTGCTTTCTGCGTTATATACCAATCATAAAGCTGTCAAGCTTGTCTGGCACTGCCCCAAGCCCACGAGTTGCTTGATATGCCTCAAACTCAGGTCCCTTTAAATAATTCCACACCAATACTCACTTTCTGTGGAAGGCATGCTTACATGGACAAATGCCCAACTCATCTCGAGGCTTGAAGTCTTCTAGACACACTGCACAGAGCTGAAAGACAAATTCACAGATGAGGCAAAGTGTCTGCTAAGTACTCTCTCGTAGGCCCCAAAGTCAAGTGCAGACCCCTGAGGCCAGTCATTTGAAGGGACTTACAAGGTCCCATGACTCCTTAAGTGAAAGAAACAGGCTGGAATGGACCAAGTCTTCTGAAGAGGAGTCTCCTGCTCTTCCTGTCACATGTCTTCAAGATGGAGGGCAGACAGGAATAGACCGCAAAAAGCAGCTTCCTTTACTTCAGTGCATCAGAGAGTCTCACTTAGGTTTATCTCAGTAGACAGGCTGAATATAATGCAATTTTCCTGTGGTTGGTGAGGGGCTGACTTTCCCAGGGAATGCCTGTTCAGCAGCACAGCCCCTAAGGGGGATGCCTCATGCTCTGGGGCAGGCCCTGGTGGTCTTTGGTTTTTCATAATGTAGAAACTATAAACCATGGCTCAGCCTGCAGTAACATGCTTTTTTTTTAGTTCCTGGGGCCCCTCGCTTTGGCACTGTCCTGTCAGTGTCTTTGTCATATATAGAGTTATTCAAGAGTCACTGAAGTTAAACTTATGAAAATATACAGATGGGGCTAGGATCACTCTTTGACCGGTGGCTACGCTCCACGGCCTGGAAAGAGGCCTTCTTCACAGCCAGATGCTGGGTTCCAACCACTACTTCTTGGGCACATACTAGTGCCCAGGGACATCAAGTATCATTGCATATACCCACTTTACAGATGGGAAAACAGAGGCTCAGAGCCATAACCACCTTGGTGAGTAGCCAGGCCTGGCTGGGGACCCAGGTCCATTGCACTGATGTGCTGCTGTACTACTTGTCTCCTGCCCAAAGGTTGAACTTCTCCCTGCTTGCTTCCCTGTCCATCTCCAGGGATCCTGGTTCAACCATCACCACTTCTTGTCCATCCCATTGACATGACCTCCCTGTTGCCTGTAATATGTAACCCAGTCTTCTTAGGTTATGTGACAGGACACGTGGCTCTTGGTGCCCCGTGGCCAGTGCTGTGAATGTTGGTTTTCCAGCACCCTTCTCTGGGAAGCTCTCGGGCTTGTATATACAACAGACAGGATCCTCACAGGAGGAGGAGGAAAATGGGTAATTGTCTTAGGTTCAGCATTACTGTGGAGACAGCAGGGGAGAAGGCAGGACAGTTAGCCTTGGCTCAGACACCCACTAGCTGTGGGACCTCTGCCATCATGATGCCTCTCAAGTTCTGTTTCTTCATCTGTAAAGTGGGGACACTACCTGCCCCACTGTCATCAGTTCAGACGAGGGGCAGGGCTGAGGCGGCAGTAAGGCAGTCTACCAATACTAGTTGTTTTTATTTATGTTTACATTTCATGATGGGAACACTTTTTTTTTTTAAATTTTATTATGTTAGTCACCATACAATACATCATTAGTTTTTGATGTAGTGATCCACAATTCATTGTTTTCGTATAACACCCAGTGCTCCATGCAGTACGTGCCCTCCTTAATACCCATCACCGGGCTAACCGATCCCCCCTCCCCCCTCCCCTCTAAAACCCTGTTTGTTTCTCAGGTCCATAGTCTCTCATGGTTCGTCTCCCCCTCCAATTCCCCCCCCCCATTTTTCTCTTCCTTCTCCTAGTGTCCTCCATGTTATTCCTTATGTTCCACAAATAAGTGAAACCATATGATAATTGACAGAAATTCTCTGCTTGACTTATTTCACTTAGCATAATCTCCTCCGGTCCCATCCATGTTGATGTAAAAGTTGGGTATTCATCTTTTCTGATGGCTGAGTAATATTCCATTGTATATATGGACCACATCTTCTTTATCCATTCATCCGTTGAAGGGCATCTCGGCTCTTTCCATGGTTTGGCTATTGCGGACATTGCTGCTATGAACATTGGGGTGCATATGGCCCTTCTTTTCACTACATCTGTGTCTTTGGGGTAAATACCCAGGAGTGCAATTGCTGGGTCATAGGGTAGCTCTATTTTTAAATTTTTGAGGAACCTCCACACTGTTTTCCAAAGTGGCTGTACCAACTTGCATTCCCACCAACAGTGTAAGAGGGCTCCCCTTTCTCCACAACCTCTCCAACATTTGTTGTTTCTCTCCCTGTCCATTTTTGCCATTCTAACTGGTGTAAGGTGGTATCTCAGTGCGGTTTTGATTTGGATTTCCCTGATGGCTAATGATGATGAACATTTTTTCATGTGTCTGTTAGCCATTTGTATGTCTTCTTCAGAGAAGTGTCTTTTCATATCTTCTGCCCACTTTTTGACTTATTTGTTTTTTTGGGTGTTGAGTTTGAGAAGTTCTTTATAGATTTTGGATACCAGCCCTTTATCTATAGTGTCATTTGCAAATATCGTCTCCCATTCTGTGGGTTGCCTCTTTGTTTTGTTGACTGTTTCCTTTGCTGTGCAGAAGCTTTTTATCTTGATGAAGTCCCAAAAGTTCATTTTTGCTTTTGTTTCACTAGCGTTTGGAGATGTATCTTGAAAGACGTTGCTGTGGGCGATGTCAGAGGTTACTGCCTATGTTCTCCTCTAGGATTTTGATGGATTCTTGTCTCACATTGAGGTCTTTCATCCACTTTGAGTTTATCTTTGTGAATGGTATTAGAGAATGGTCGAGTTTCATTCTTCTGCATGTGGCTGTCCAATTTTCCCAGCACCATTTATTGAAGAGACTGTCTTTTTTCCATTGCATGTTTTTTCCTGCTTTGTCAAAGATTATTTGGCCATAGAGTTGAGGGTCCATATCTGGGTTCTCTATTCTGTTCCATTGGTCTATATGTCTGTTTTTGTGCCAGTACCATGCTGTCTTGGTGATCACAGCTTTGTAATATAGCTTGAAATCGGGCAACGTGATGCCCCCAGCTTTTTCTTTTTCAACATTTCCTTGGCGATTCGGGGTCTTTTCTGATTCCATACAAATTTGAGGATTGTTTGTTCCAGCACTTTGAAAAATGTCATTGGAATTTTGATCGGGATGGCATTGAAGGTATAGATTGCTCTGGGTAGCATAGACATTTTAACAATGTTTATTCTTCCGATCCATGAGCATGGAATATTTTCCCATCTTTTTGTGTCCTCTTCAATTTCTTTCATGAGTGTTCTGTAGTTCCTAGAATATAGATCCTTTACCTCTTTGGTTAGGTTTATTCCGAGGTATCTTATGGTTTTCAGTGCTATTGTAAATGGAATCGTTTCTCTAATTTCTCTTTCTACAGTTGCGTTGTTAGTGTATAAGAAAGCAACTGATTTCGTATCCTGCCACATTACTGAATTGCTGGATGAGTTCTAGTAATTTGGGGGTGGAGTCTTTTGGGTTTTCCACATAAAGTATCATGTCGTCTGCGAAAAGAGAGTTTGACGACTTCTTTGCCAATTTGAATACCTTTTATTTCTTTTTGTTGTCTGATTGCTGTTGCTAGGACTTCTAGTACTACGTTGAACAACAGTGGTGAGAGTGGGCACCCTTGACGTGTTCCTGATCTTAAGAGAAAGGCTCTCAGCTTTTCCCCATTGAGGATGATATTTGCTGTGGGTTTTTCATAGATGGATTTTATGAACTTGAGGAATGTTCCCTCTATCCCTATACTCTGGAAAGTTTTAAACGGGAAAGGATGTTGTATTTTGTCAAATGCTTTTTCTGCATCAATTGAGAGGACCATATGGTTCTTCTCCCTCCTCTTATTAATGTGTTCTATCACATTGATTGATTTGAGAATATTGAACCACACTTGCATCCCGGGGATAAATCCCACTTGGTCGTGGTGGATGATCCTTTTAATATATTGTTGGATCCTATTAGCTAGGATTTTGTTGATTTTGGAATCCATATTCATCAGGGATATCGGTCTGAAATTCTCCTTTTTGATGGGGTCTTTGCCTGGTTTGGGGATTAAGGTAATGCTGGCCTCATAGAATGAGTTTGGAAGTTTTCCTTCTGTTTCTGTTTTTTGAAACAGCTTCAGTAGAATAGGTATTATTTCTTCTTTGAATGTTTGGTAGAATTCCCCAGGGAATCCATCAGGCCCTGGACTCTTGTTTTTTGGGAGGTTTTTGATCACTGCTTCAATCTCGTTACTGGTTATTGGCCTATTCAGGTTGCCCATTTCTTCCTGTTTCAGTCTTGGCAGCTTATAGGTTTCCAGGAAGGCCTCCATTTCATCCAGATTGCTCAGTTTATTGGCATATAGTTGTTGATAACAATTTCTAATAATTGTTTCTATTTCCTTGGTGTTAGTCGTGATCTCTCCCCTTTCATTCATAATTTTATTAATTTGGGTCCTTTCTCGTTTCTTTTGGATAAGTCTGGCCAGTGGTTTATCAATCTTATTAATTCTTTCAAAGAACCAACTTCTAGTTTCATTGATCTGATCTACTGTGTTTCTGGTTTCTAATTCATTGATTTCTGCTCTAATTTTAATTATTTCTCTTCTAATGCGTGGCTTAGGCATCATTTGTTCCTTTTTCTCTAGTTCTTTAAAGGTGTAGAGTTAGTTGGTGAATTCGGGATTTTTCTATTTTTTTGAGTGAGGCTTGGATGGCTATGTATTTCCCCCTTAGGACCGCCTTTGCAGTATCCCATAGGTTGTGGACCGATGTGTTTTCATTCTCATTGATTTCCATGAATTGTTTAAGTTCTTCTTTGATTTCTTGGTTGACCCAAACATTCTTGAGCAGAGTGGTCTTTAGCTTCCAAGTGTTTGAATTTCTGCCAAATTTTTTCTTGTGATTGAGTTCCAGTTTTAGAGTACTGTGGTCTGAGAATATGCAGGGAATAATCTCAATCTTTTGGTATTGGTTGAGACCTGATTTGTGACCCAGTATATGGTCTATTCTGGAGAAAGTTCCATGTGCGCTCGAGAAGAATGAGTATTCTGTTGTTTTAGGGTGGAATGTTCTGTAAATATCTATGAGGTCCATCCGGTCCAATGTATCATTCAAAGCTCGTTTCCTTGTTGATTTTCTGCTTAGATGATCTGTTCATTGTTGAGAGTGGAGTATTGAGGTCTCCTACAATTAACGTATTGTTATCAATAGGACTCTTTATTTTGGTTAACAGTTGGCTTATATAGATGGCTGCTCCCATGTTGGGGGCATAGATATTTACAATTGTTAGATCTTCTTGTTGGATAGACCCTTTAAGAATGATATAGTGTCCTTCTGTGTCTCTTATTACAGACTTTAGTTTAAAATCTAATCTGTCTGATATAAGAATTGCTACCCCAGCTTTCTTTTGAGGTCTGCTGGCATGGAAGATGGATCTCCATCCCTTCACTTTCAGTCTGGATATATCTTTAGGTTCAAAATGAGTCTCTTGTAGACAGCATATGGATGGGTCCTGTCTTTTTATCCAATTTGCAACCCTGTGCCATTTTATGGGAGCGTTTAGGCCATTCACGTTGAGAGTGATTATTGAAAGATATGAATTGTCATCATGTTGCCTGTGAAGATGTTGTTTTTATAGATTGTCCCTGTAAATTTCTGTTGTATATCACTCTTGGGGTCTTTCTCCTTTTATAGAACCCCCCCTTAATATTTCTTGCAGGGCCGGCTTAGTGGTCACATATTCTTTCAGCTTCTGCCGGTCGTGGAAGCTCTGCATCTCTCCATCCATTCTAAATGAAAGCCTTGCTGGATAAAGTATTCTTGGCTGCATGTTCTTCTCATTTAGTACCCTGAATATGTCTTGCCAGGCCTTTCTGGCTTACCAGGTCTCTGTGGATAGGTCTGATGTTATTCTGATGTTCCTCCCTCTGTACGTAAGGAATCTCTTGCCCCTAACTGCCCTTAAGATGGTTTCCTTGGTTCTAAGATTTGCAAGTTTTACTATTACATGCCGGGGTGTTGGCCTGTTTTCCTTGATCTTAGGAGGGGTCCTCTCTGCCTCTAGGACTCGAATGTTTGTTTCATTCCCCAGATTAGGGAAGTTCTCAGCTACGATTTGCTCAAATACATCTTCTAGTCCTCTCTCCCCACTCCCTCCGGGATTCTAATTATTCTGACATTGGAACGCTTCATGGTGTCACTTATTTCTCTGATTCTATTTTCATGGATTCTGAGTTGTTTTTCCCTGGCCTCCTCTTTTCCCTTTTTATCTATTATATTGTCTTCCAGGTCGCTTATTCTCTCTTCTGCCTCAGTTACCCTAGCTGTCAGATTATCTATATTGGATTGGATCTCATTGATAGCATTTTTAAGTTCTGTCAATTCACCTTTTATTTCTGCCCTTAGAGACTCTATGTTGCCATTAGTTGATTTCTCCATTCTAGCCATTGTCTTCACAATTGCTAGCCTGAATTCCATATCCGACATCTTGGTTATATCTGCATCCATTTGTAAATCTGCAGCATAAGTCATAATCTCTGAGTCTTTCCTGTTTTGGGGGCTCCTCCTTCAAGTCATTCTCTTGATGGGTGTTTGAGGGAATGTATAGAGTCCAAATTATTGACCAGAACCCAAGCAAGATGCACCTGTTTTCTTGGGACCTTAGGGTTGCTGGCCTCTTGTTTTCCCAGCCTATCTTCTGTGGGAGGGGCCTGCCGTGCTGTTACTCAGGCAACCCTGTTTGGGAGGAGGTGCCCTGCGCCCCTGTGGTAGGGGATGGGCTCAGTGGGAATCAGTTTTGGGGGCTTTTGTTCTCTGGCGCCTTTCCCTGGCAGCTTTCTGCATCTCTTCCACGAGTTAGAGCAGAAGAGACCGTTTCCAACCCTCTGCCTCAGAGCAGAGAGATCGCAGTCTGTTCTTCAGTGAGCTCTCCAGGCCACACTGTCTCCGTTTCTGTCCGTGCTGCTATAAATTGCAGCGTCCTGGGTTTTGTGCCCCTTCCCGGCGCTCCCAGTCCTGCCTCCAGGTCCGGGCACGTCTCTGCCCTTTGTGCTTCTAAAACCGCCAGCTGCTCCCAGTTCGTGCGCGTGTATGTACGCGCTTGCGCAACTCCGTCACTCCAGGTTTCCCACCCGGGGGCTGCAGTTCGCAGGCGTGACTCTGACGCTCCAGGTTTCTATCCCGGGGGCTGCAATTTGCCCGCACGACCCCGCTGCTCCGGGTTTCCATCCTGGGGGCTGCAGTTTGCATGCGCGACCCTGCCGCTCCAGGTTTCCATCCTGGGGGCTGCCCTAAAGTCCTTTCCCTGCCGCTACCGGTCTGCGAGTCTGTGCCCGTCCCCAGTGCGCGAGGCTGTCACTCACCAGTGGTGTAGGATCCCCACGGCCAGGCACCCTCCCACTGCCGTTTATCCTCCGATATCTGCCCGCAGAATCACGGCTCTCTGCTTCGTACCTCAAAACCAACCGCCTGCGATATTCTGTTTGTAGAGATCCAGATCTTACATCTCAGGCCGGTTTCGTGGGTGCTCAGAGTGGTCTGGTAGATATCCAGCTCAATAGGGTTCCCTCAATAGGGTCCCCTACTCCTCCGCCATCTTTCCCCCCTCCCGGGAACACTATTTTTAAGCCCATTTTTGACTTCTGGAGGAAGGCTGAGAACAAGCTGTGGGGAAAGATGGGAAACTAGCAGTTCCAGCCATGTGGGTGGTCTTTTTGGGCCTTAGCTTCCCATCTGTAAAGGGGGATGATGTTCCTACCTCGTAGACTATATGAACAGGCCCTTCTGGCCTTAAACACCAAGCTTCCCTCCCAGCACAGGGAGGTAATGAGGGTCAGGACTGCTGGCTCTGCTTCTGGAGATTCAGTGTTGATCCTACCAAAGGGCAAGACGGTCAAGCCACTCACTTTAATTTGCTTATTTTTCTAGGATCCAAGGTTAGATTTGTAGACTTTTCAAAAGGGAGTTATGATTAATGGTTATAATGTGCTATTATGTTCTTAAACAAATTCTAAAACCCATGGTCACCTGAAAAAAAAAGAAAGATAAATTCTGACATGTTAAGTGCCAAAGGTGACCAGAAGCCAAGGGCAGTCACAAAGAGAAAAGTCTCAGATCTGACTTCTTAGAAGTTCCACGAAGGGCCAAACTAATTTTACAACTTTACAGATCATATTTTGCAAATCAGCTTTACTTCCCAGTATTTCAACAAGATTGCTTCTCCAGTGTAACTTTCCCATACCTTTTTTACCTTTTTAAAAATGGACATGTAATTCACGTAATATTCACCACTTTAAAGTATATAATTCAGCAGTTTTTAGTATATTCACAGAATTGTGCAACCATCACCACAATCTAATTCCAGAACATTTCATTCCCTGCCCCCAAAGCCCACATCCATAAGCAGTCACTCCTCATTCCCCCTTCTTCCCAGGCCCTGGGAACCACTAATCAACTTTCTGTCTTGATGGATTTGTCTGTTCTGGTCATTTCCAGAATGAAATGGAATCATGAAATGGTATTTTACAATGTGTGGTCTTTTTGTCTGCCTTCTTTTACTTAGCACGATGCCTTCAAAGTTCATCCATGTTTATTCATTTTATGGCTATATTTGTTTATTCATTCATATGTTGATGGCTACTTAGATTGTTTTTACCTTTTGGCTATTGTGAATAATGTTGCTCTAAACAAGTAATTGAGGGGCACCTGGGTGGCTCAGTCTGTTAAGTGTCTGCCTTTGGCTCAGGTCATGATCCCAGGGTCCTGGGATGGAGTGCCACATCAGGCTCCTTGCTCAGCGGGGAGTCTGTTTCTCCCTCTGCCTGCCGCTCCCCCTGCTTGTGCTCACTCATGCTCTCTGACAAATAAAATCTTAAAAAAAAAAACAAAAACCCACAACAGCAGCAGCAACAACAACAAACCAAACGAGTAATTGAGTTTTCAATTCTCTGGATATATATCTAGGAGTAATTGTTAGGTCATATGGTAACTCTATAACTTTTTTTTTTTTAAGATTTTATTTATTTGAGAGACGGGGTGGGGGGAGAGAGAGAGAGAGATAGCAAGAGAGAGCACGAGCAGGGGGAAGAGGGAGAAGCAGGCGCCCCGCTGAACAAGGAGCCTGACATGGGGCTCAATCCCAGCACCCTGGGATCATAACCAGAGACAAAGGCAGACGCTTAACCGACTGAGCCACCCAGGTGCCCCAGTATTTAAACTTTTGTTTTCCAGAGTGGCTACATAATTTCATATTCCCACCAGCTGTGTATGAGGGTCCAATTTCTCCATATCATCAAGTTATTATTATTGTCTTTGATTATAGCCATCCTAGATGGTGTGAAGTGGTATCTCATTGTGGTTTTGATTTGCATTTTTCGACTAATGATGTTATGCTTATTGGTCTGTATATCTTCTTTTTTTTTTTTTAAAGATTTTATTTATTTATTTGAGAGAGAGAGAATGAGAGAGAACACATGAGAGGGGACAAGGTCAGAGGGCAAAGCAGACTCCCTGCTTAGCAGGGAGCCCGATGCGGGACTCGATCCAGGGACTCCAGGATCATGACCTGAGCTGAAGGCAGTCGCTTAACCAACTGAGCCACCCAGGCGCCCTGTTGTATATCTTCTTTGGAGAAATGTCTGTTCTCTTTGCCTCCATTTTTTTAGTTGGGTTATTTTTATTATTGAGATGTAAGATTTCTTTATAAATATTCTAGACAGAAATCCCTTATCAGATAGCCAACTGATTTTGACAAAGGTGCAAAAGCATTTCAGTGGCAGAAGGACAACTTTTTCAACAAATGGTGTTGGAGTACTTTGACATCCATAGGCATCAAAAGCATTATATCACCCCTAAGGCATAAACAACCAAAGGAAAAAAAAAATCGATAAATTGGACTTCATCAAACTAAAAAACTTTAGTTCTAGAAAAAACCTTGTTATGATGAAAGGACTGATAGAAAATATTTACAGATCTTTTTAATTTGTAGGCTTTTTATTACTGAGTTGTAACAGTTCATTATATATTGTGGATACTAGACTCTTATCAGATATAAGATCTGCAATATTTTCTCCCTGTGGGTGTCTTTTTACTTTCTTGATAATGTTATTTGAAGTACAAGGGTTTTAAAATTTTTTTTTTTTTTGCTTTAAATATTTTTTTGGGGGGGAAAGGACACCACACTTCTACTCAATTGAGAGAAACATTTTTACAGTCTTGAGGTCTTTTATTTTCTTTACATTTATCATGCCATGAATTCATAGGGAATGGGTTCCAGCAGTTTGGGCTCCTTTCCATTAGTTCTCACAAAGTGTGCTTGTCTGGGTGGGGCAGGCTGGCGCTTCAATTGAACCCAAGTACCTTTCTCTTTGGCTTCCTTCTTTTTCTGATCATTTTCCTTCACACGCTTCAGGAAGCTGTCTCGGCTCTTTGAGTGTTTAATATACTCAATGCGTACATTAATTCTCTTGGCAAGAATCTTGCTCTTGTTTGTTTACAACAATGCCAACAGCATGCTGAGTAACATTGTAGACTCTTCCAGTTTTGCCATGGTAACATTTGTGGGGCATTCCTTTTGAACAGTGCCCATTCCCTTGATGTCCACAATATCACCTTTTTTATAGATTCGCATGTATGTGGCCAAAGGAACAACTCCATGTTTTCGAAAAGGTCTAGAGAACATATAGCGGGTACCTCTCCTCTTTCCCTTTGTGTTGGTCATTTTGGCAAATTACTGGAAGATGGTGGTTCGGCCGAAAGGAACGGTTTTTAAATTTTGAAGAAGTTAAAATTATCTGTTTTTTCCCTTTGGTTGCTTGTGCTTTAGGTGTCATATCTAAGGAAGTGTTTGGGTTGTTTAACCCAAAGTCACAAAAATTTATTTATTATTATTTTTTAAGATTTTATTTATTTGAGAGACAGAGAATGAACGAGAGAGAGCACGAAAGGGGGAAGGGTCAGAGGGAGAAGCACTCCTGAGCAGGGAGCCTGATGTGGGACTTGATCCTGGGGCTCCAGGTTCAGGACCTGAGCTGAAGGCAGTCACTTAACCAACTGAGCCACCCAGGCGCCCTTCCCCCTGCCAAAAAAATTTATATCTATGCTTATTTCTAAGAGTTGTGTAATTTTAGCTGTTACATTTAGGTCTTTGGTCCATTTTTTAGTTAATTTTTGTATATGGTGTGAAGCAGGGTTCTAACTTCATTCTTTTGCATATTTTGGTTATCTAGTTATCACAGCACCATTTACTGATTCAACTATTCTTTTCCTATTGAATTGTCTTGGCACACTTATTGAAAATCAATTGACCATAAATGTATAGGTTTGTTTCTGAACTCTCAATTCTATTCCATTGATCTGCATGTCTTTCCAACTGCTAGTACACACTGTCTTAAATATTGAAGCTTTATGTTCTAAAACTGGAAGGTGTGAATCCTCCAACTCTGTTCTTTTTCAAGATTGTTTTTGGATATTCTGGATCCCTTGCATTTCCATGTGAATTTTAGAATCTGCTTGTCAATTTCTACCAAAAAAAAAAAAAGACAGCTGTGATTTTGATAGGGATAGCACTGATTCTGTAAATATTATGGGGGATACTGCCATCCTATCAATAGTAGGTCTCTGAAACCATGAACACGGTAGGTCTTTCCACTTACATAGGTCTTCCTTAATATCCTTCAAGGATTTTTGGGGGGAAGATTTTATTTATTTGACAGAGAGAGAGAGAGAGAGAGAGCACAAGCAGGGGGAATAGCAGGCAGAGGGAGATGTGGGACTCAATCCCAGCACCCCAGGATCATGACCTAAGTCGAAGGCAGACGTGTTACTGTGCCACCCAGGCGCCCCAGATATCCTTCAAGGATATTTTGTAGTTTTCAGTGTAGAAGTCTGAGCTTCTTTGTTAAATTTATTCCTAGTTACCTTATTCTTTTTGATGCTGTTGTAAATGGAATAGTTTTCTTAAATTCATTTTTGAATTATTCATTGCCAATGCATAGAAATACAGCTGACTTCTGTATGTTGATTTTGTATCCTGGACATCTGTTGAACTCATTTATTAGCACTCATGATTTTTGGTGGATTCTTTAGAGTTTTCAGTTTTTAAAAATTCATGTCATCTGCAAATATAGTTTTACTTCTTCCTTTCTAATCTGGATGCCTTTTATTACTTTTTCTTGCCTAACAGCTCTGGCTAGACCCTGCAGTACAATGTTGAATAAAAGTGGTAAGAGCAGGCATCCTTGTCTTATTCTGATCTTAGGGGAAAAAGCTTTCAGTCTTTCACCATTATGATGTTAGCTCTGTGTTTTTTTTTAAGATTTTATTTATTTATGTGAGAGAGAGAATGAGATAGAGAGAGAGAGCATGAGAGGGGGGAGGGTCAGAGGGAGAAGCAGACTCCCCGCTGAGCAGGGAGCCCGATGCGGGACTCGATCCCAGGACTCCAGGATCATGACCTGAGCCGAAGGCAGTCGCTTAACCAACTGAGCCACCCAGGCGCCCCGCTCTGTGTTTTTCATAGATGCCCTTTATCAAGTTGAGGAAATTCCCTTCTATTCCTAGTATGTCAAGTTTTTTATCATGAAAGAATGTTGAATTTTGTCAAGTGCTTTTTCTGCATCTATTGAAGTGATCCTGTTTGTTTGTTTGTTTTTCCCTCCCTTTATCTGTTAATAGGGTGTATTACATTGACTGACTTTCCTTTGTTGAACCAACCTTGTATTCCTGGAATAAATTCCATTTGGTTATGGCATATAATCCTTTTTATATGCTGGTAGACTTGGTTTGCTAGTATTTTGTTGAGGACTTTTTCACCTATATTTGTAAGGGATATTGGTTTGGAGTTCTCTTTCTTTGTGATGTCTTTGTCTGCTCTTGACATTAGGACCTGACAGAATGAGACAGGAAGAGTTCCTCATCACTTTTCATTTTTTGAAATCAAAGAATGCATCCTATGATAATGTCAACCCTGCCAGAAGCTGGGATAGGAATATATATTTACTGACTGCTCAGTCTATAGATACTTGAGTTTGCCTGTTTTACATGTTAAAAGTCAGAAAAGTTCTTAACTGATGGTATCTGCAGAAAGCAGAAGGAAGCTGGGTGAGGTACCTCCAAAGTAATTTTTTGCAGCTTGGGGAACAGCAGAAATTTCAAGTCTGTGGGGGCAGTAAGAGCATCAAGATGTGATGGCTCCAGACTCAAAGAGATAGGGTCACACTCTTTTTGTTTTGTATCCAAAATGTGTTTACTGGGATGGTTTCCCAGTCATTTTGATTCAGGGTGCTTTTAATGCTGTTTCTGTCTGAAGGAACATTCTTCTGTACACCTTGCTTTTCCTCCTGTGGGCTGGCAGAGGACAGTGGAGCAGCCAACACACAAAACTACCATTTGTTCACGGTTAAAGTTGGTGGTGATTTTATAGCAACCTGGGCATTTCACATCCATGGAGTAGGAAGTGGGGCTCTGCACTAGGTGCTTCTTGTGTTTCCTCTTCTCTTCTGGAAAGGGATGGGGGAGATTCTTTGTGAGGGGTATGTTCTTGTGGGGAGGTTGTCACCATGGGAAGGGCTAGGGTCACATTCTTTCTCCATGCTCAGAAGCTGGATAACATGCCCATGCCCATTCTACTCAACTTTTTAATTTAATTTTATTTGAGAGAGAGAGGGAGAGAGCGAAAGAGAGCACACATGAGGAGGGGGGAGGGGCAGAGGAAGCGGGAGAAACAGACTCCTTGCCCAACAGGGAGCCCAACGAGGGGCTCGATCCCAGGACCCTGGGATCACTGAGCTGAAGGCAGATGCTTAACTGACTGAGTCACCCAGGTGCTCCTCTACTCAACTTTCTTAAATCTGAATTTCTACAAATGCAAAATAAGGAATACCTTATCTAAATTTTTTAAAATGTGAGTTCCCTCGGTCTTAAGATAATTATATGAAGTAACGACATCTTAGTAATCTTGCCACCTTGCATACTGGTTCCATTTACATTACACTGAGATTATATCCATAAATAAGACATGTTTGAGGGAACAGTGGCTTTATGGGAACTACAGATGTATACTGGACTAGCATTCAACTAGTGCACGATCTCTAAAATGCCCAAGAAGGCAGGCTTTGATAATTTCCAGGTGGCTGATACAGTCCATAAATTTACCTCAAATGCAAACTGGGGAAGGAGAATTATGTGGGGAACACAATGTCACACAATGAAAATGACCCACAGCTCAGGTGATGCAGCCAAAATGGTTTTCTTTTAAATAGATTCTACGATGGGCACTCATTATCATTATACCTTTCCTTGAATGGTCATGAAGCTATCACATCTTCTTCAGAGGCAGCATTTCTAGTTCAGAGGTGCCATTTAAAGTTGGAATCTTTGAGAGCTATGAAAGCAACCTAAAGATAGTTGTGCTACTCAGGGATGAACCAACTTTCCTGTTCCAAACTGAACTACAGTGGGCAGTCCTTTCCATGGCCTTCATGTGTTTGTGTCCTTGGTCCATTACTGTACATGCCTCATTGACTTATGACCTTCTCTCTTCTCTCCCATGGGATCAGTATTCCTTGATCGAAGGGAGGGACTATATTCTACCCACTCAATCTTTAAGGTCCTGTATACTGTCCCTTATACATGCTTTGGACTTTTGTTGTTGTTGTTTTACTATTTTTACAATTCAAACAAACCTGGTACAAACCTCAATTGGGCTCCAAATATTTTTATACTAATTTAAAAGTAAAACTCAGGAATGTGATTTATAAGAAAACTGATCAGTAGTTCTAGAAAGACTGAAAAGGTTTAAATCTCCTCCTACATAAGACAAGGATGTGGCAGAGTTTGCACTGCCAGAGCCGCCACCTCACTGGAGCAGAGGGAAGGGGATGAGTCTATGGGGAGGTGAGGAGAAGAAGGAAAAGATGTTCTTTACACAAGGGGCAACTCCAATGGGTCCAACTTTTTTGTAGTCTCTTCTTGTGGAAAGCAGGGCAGAGCAGGCCACAGCATGTCTGCTATACTACTCCTCACCCACTCCCTACCTGACTTGGGAAAACTGACCTAAAGATGGCCCTTCCTAGTCCTTGTGCAGTGAGGATCCCAGCTGCTGCTGAGATGCAGAGGGGAGCAGGGTCTCCTACCCTTCTGATGATACAGGCAATACATGATGGAAGAGGGGATGGACCGAATTCAAATTTGGAAGCTACGCGGATGGCTCTACCACTGTATTGTGGATGTGGACCCAGGGTTCTACAAGGCTATCCATATTCTGATTGGCCCATACGGCCACAGTAGGTAGAGGAGGCCTTCTCTGGTGTGGTGGCAGGACAGAAAAGTGCAATGCGGAAACAAAATCTGGATGATGGCTGAAAATTTCCCAAGCTTGGTGAAAGACAAACCTACATATTTATGAAGGTTGAGTAAACCACAAACAGGATAAATCCAAAGAAATCCATGCTCAGATATATCATAATTAATTGCTGAAAACTAGACAAAGAAAAAAATCTTGAAAGCAGCTGGAGAAAAAGGACTCATTACTGATAGAGGATCAAGGATTCGAATGACTATGAATTTCTCATTGGAAACCGTGGAGGCCAGAAGGAAGCAGCACATTTTAAATGTGCTGAAAGAGGGCACCTGGGTGGCTCAGTCAGTTAAGCATCTGCCTTTGGCTTAGGTCGTGATCCTGGGGTCCTGGGATCGAGCCCTGCACTGGGTTCCCTGCTCAGTGGGGAGTCTGCTTCTCCCTCTCTCCCCCCTCCCTGCTTGTGCTTTCTTGCTCTCTAATGAATAAATAAAATCTTTAAAAAAAAAAAAAAGGGCTGAAAGAAAATGTCAACCCAGAGTTCTATACCAAATAAAAATATCCTCCTTAGGAATGAAGGTGAAATAGACATTCTCAGATGAAGGCAAACTAGTAGAATTCACAGCCAGCAGATCTGCTCTAAAAGAAATGCTAAAGGAAGATCATCAGATAGAAGGAAAATGGAATTAAGAAGGAAATTGGAATATTAGGAATGAAGAGCAACAGAAATGACAAATATCTGGATAAATATTTATGACTATTCTTTCTCTCTGAATTCTTTAGAATATACTTGACAGTTATAAGTAAAAAATATAATATTATCTGATGGAATTTTCAATGTATATAGATGTAATATGATAGCTCTTGCATAAAGGGAAAATGGTAAAGGGATTTATATGGTGAGAGGTTTCTACATTTCAACTGAAGTGCTAAAAAATTGCTTCTAAGTATTTTATAATCCACTAAAATATTATACAAAAAGATAAAGTCAAAATCAAAATAGATACTAAAAATGGATTACTAGGGGTGCTTGGGTGGCTCAGTCGGTTGAGCATCTGCCTTCGGCTCAGGTCATGGTTCTGGGGTCCTGGGATTGAGCCCCGCATCGGGCTCCCTGCTTGGTGGGGAGTCTGCTTCTCCCTCTCCCTCTGCCCCTCCCCCCCACTCATGCTCTCTCTTGTGCTCTCTTAAATAAATGAAAAAATCTTTAAAAAAAATAAAAATGAATTACTAAAACGGATTACTAAAAATGTTCAAATAACCCAAAGAAGGCAGGAATAGGGAAAAACAATGACAGAGTAGGAAAAGCAGAAGACAAATAATACAATGGTCTACCTAATTCCAAACATCAATAATTGCCTCGAATGTAAATGGTCTAAACACACCAATTAAAACAAAGATTGGCAGAGTGGGTTAAAGAAAAAAAAAATTCATAACCAAACTTTATGCTATTATAAGAAAACTCACTTCAAATATAATTATATAGGTAGACTGAAATTAAAAAGATGGAAAAAGGTATGCCATGCAAACATCAATCAAAAGAAAGCTAGAGGTGCTATGTATTTTTTTAAAAAGGAGTTAATTCTTTTTATTTATTTTAGAGACAGAGAGAGAGAGAGAGCTCGTGAGCATGAGTAGGGGGAGGGGCAGAGGGAGAGCATCTTTAAGCAGACTCCCAGTTGAGTGGGGAGCCTGATGCAGGGCTTGATCTCACCACCTATAAGATCATGACCTGAGCTAAAACCAAGAGTCAGATGTTTAACTGGCTGAGCTACCCAAGTGCCCCAGCTCGAGGTGCTATATTAATATCGGGCAAAGATTTCAAAGCAAAGAAAATTGCCAGAGATGAAGAGGGATATTATAATTTCAATAAAAGGGTCAATTCACCAAGAAGACATAATCCTAAAAATCCTAAATGTGTATTCAGCTAACAGAGCCTTATACAAATAAGTAAATAAATGAAAAGACATAATGTGTTTATAGATTAGAAGACTCAACATGGTAAAGATGTCAATTTTCCCCTGATTTATAGATTTAATGAAATGCTAATCAAAATCCCACAGCAGGATTTCTTCTTTTTTGTAGATATAGACCAGCTGATGCTACAATTTATATGGAAGAGCAAGGAATTAGACTAGCTAAAACAGTTTTGGAGAAGAATAAAGTTGGAGGATCACACTGCCTGATTTTAAGACTTACAGAGCTACAGTAAGCTTTATTAGTAAAGCTACATTAAGACTGTGGTGTTGGTGAAAGGATGAGTGTATAAATCAATGGAACAGATTAGAGAATCCAGAAATAGAGTCACAAAATATGGCCATTTGATTTCTGACAAAGAAAATTTAATGGAGAAAGCAACCACTCACCAAAACTAGAGTTGGGGACACTGTGGTGAACAAATCAAAGACTAAATGCAAACAGGGAGCATATCATAAACTAATGCCAAGACTCTCGAGCTTCTCTTGAAGAAACCCAAATCTGGCAGCAACTGGCCTATATTCCCCCATGGCAACAATCAGCTAGAGCTGAGTCCTGGCAACTCCTTTAACAGGACCTGCATGCCCCAGTGTGACGCAGCTTCCATAGGACCCTTCTGTTTTTGACACCAAGACTTCATTAGATGCCATTTATTAACCCACTTGCATGATTGTTCTGTTGTTTCTCTTAGAGATCTCCTCCTCTATATCTGTGTCTCTATGAAAAGATGGAGAAATAAACAAAAACAGGGAAGACTATGGGTACTGAAAGAACATTTTTCTTCATAGAAGGACAATATATTCTTGCGTTTTGATTATGTATATAGTATCTCCTTAGCTTCACTTAGTGTAAGTGTTGTTTGAGTCCTATACTGGTAGAAAAAATTAAGCAAAAATGATACAGTCAGCTATAGAGCCAACTGTCTAAGAAGCTGGGGTGGGGGGTGGTGTCTGGGCATCTGAGCCTGCAAGGTCCCAGGAAATCTCCCTTAGGAGAGCAAAAGCCAAGAAGCTGTGTGTGCAATACCAGAATCCTCAAGAACTTCTCAGCATATATCCCAGATAACACACAGCACCCTTCTCCACACTGCAGTTTGACTTTCTCATTTATAGTCCCCTCTACCAGACTGCTAACTGCTTAAGAGTAGAAATTAGTATTTTATGCTTCTTTGTATCTCGCAGTTTAGTTTAGTACAGTGTCTGACATGTTTTATGTATCCAATAACTCTAAAATTATTATTGTTATTATTTTAGAGAGGGAGGGGGAGGGACAGAGGGAGAGAGAGAATCCCAAGGATGCTCCACACCCAGGGTGGAGCCTGAAGCGGGGCTCAATCTCACAATCTTAATATCGTGACCTGAGACGAAATCAAGAGTTGGACACCTAACCAACTGAGTCATCCAGGTGCCCCAACTCTAAAATTATTTTAAAAGTAATATATTAACTTGTTTTCCTTCTTTAAGAACCCATTACATATAAAACTAACATCTCTTTTGACCAACTTCCCCTAATCTTTCTCTACTCTTTCTCCATGTAACTATGTGTCCTTCTCAAACACAGTAAAACACCTTGTAGTATGCATATAAATCCATGAACAATATGGTGTTTAGTTTAGTTTACATATGTCATATAAACATATCACTTTGTGACTTGCTTTTTTTGGATCCCACTAGAGATCTATCCCAATTGAGACATTTACAGATAGAGCTCAATCCTTAATTTTGCCAACTTTATAGTACCTCATTGTACTATATCAGGTTTCCTTCCTTCCCTCCCTCTTGGTGGATAATCTCCCACTTGCATGATTGTTCTGTTGTTGGTGAAAGGATGAGTGTATAAATCAATGTATATCATGTTTAATTTATTCACTCACCACTGATGGGACATTTAGCTTATCTTTGATTTTTCACTATTGTAATTATTCACTAATAACAGTATCCACATTGAAATTCCACATGCTTACACAGGACCAAGCTATGTTACTACTGTATAATTAGGCTACAGAAATGCACACATACACACAAAAGTCTGACAAAATAGTTTCATCACCAAGAAATGCAACTGGAAAAGACCAAATGAATTGCAAAAAATACCTGATTGCCTCTAGAAACAAGCAATAGAGCAAGGTTAGGTTATCCTAGCTATTAGTTTCTTTCTTTTTTTTTCTAGCTACTAGTTTCAAATAAGGGGGAGAGGGGGTCAGTAGCTGGTCAGATTCAGCAAAACTGGAATGGGTAAGTGCAAATGGGATATAACTCTGATACATAATGATGCAACACAATGTACTCATTCAAGATAAAGACCCATTCTAAACTAGTGGGTCAGACCAATGAGGAAGATTTCTGCTCCTGAGGAATCTGGTTGTTTAATATTGGTTAACATGTGTCAGAATATAATCTTTACATTTATGGTCCTTAAAGAGACCCCAAATAGAAAAGAGATCATCCTCTATTATTTCATATTAATTTTGGGAAAATTTAAAAATCAAACAGTAAAAAAAAAAATCAAACAGTAATTGATGCTTTGGATTTAAAAGGTTAGTTCTAAAATGCTGTAATATAGCAACTCTTTGATTAAAAAAATATGCAAAAAAAGCAAAGGAGCAGTAGACATTTTCAAAGTGTTTGACAATAATATAAATCATTATCTTTTTTTTTTCCAAAATTTACTTATTTGATAGAGAGAGAGCACAAGCAGGGAGAGTGGCAGGCAGAGGAGGAGGAAGCAGCATCCTCTCAGGGTCCTGGGATCGAGCCCCGCATCGGGCTCCCTGCTCAGCGGGGAAAGCCTGCTTCTCCCTCTCCCACTCCCCCTGCTTGTGTTCCCTCTCTCGCTATGTCTCTCTGTCAAATACATAAATAAAATCTTAAAAAAAAAATAAAAGTCTTCAGGAGTTTGCAGAACGTAAACTCCATTGATCAATCTTAAAAAAAAAAAAAAAAAAAAAAGATTTCTTTGCAGTTCTTTTTGTCCTAAGGATATATTGCACTAGAGATGGAAAATCAAATTATTGTGCTTAAAAGTTGAAATAATTCCTCTCTGTGTGATTCAGGCATCAATTCAATACACAATTGAGTTCTTTTTGCCCCATTTTGTTTCAATTTTTAGAGATATAAAAACTCTTTTTTAAGTTTTATTTATTTAAGTAATCTTTCCACCCAACATGGGGCTCAAACTCACAACCCCAAGAGCAAGAGTCGCATGCTCTTCCAACTGAGCCAGCCAGGTGCCCCGAGATATAAAAAAATCTTAAATTTAACTTTGTTATATAATTATGTAAAACAGTAACATGGTTCCAAAGTCAAATCTACAAAAGAAGGTACATCCAGAAAAATCTAGCTTCTGTCCTTGAACCCTCCTTTCTGTTCCTGCCCTTTCTTTATAGGTAACCATTTTTGCGATTAGTTTTTGGTTTACCCTTTCATGAAAATAGACAAGAGATTCCAGTCTGAATTCTTTTTGTTTTAGTAGTACTCATAGCTAAGATTTATTACAGGGAAAGGATGAAAACCAAAATCCGCAAAGGGAAAGCTGTGTGGGGCAAAGTCCAGAGGAAACCCCGCCCAAGCTTTTAAAGTCCTCTCCCAGTAGAGTCACATGGGATACCAAGCCTTATCTCCTAACTAAAAGCTTTGTTTTTTTCTTAAATAAAAGATTATACATTTTCCACCTTTTCTTTCTTTTTTTAAAAAAGATTTTATTTATTTATTAGAGAGAGAGAGAGAGCACAAGCAGGAGGGAGAGGGAGAAGCAGGCTCCCCGATAAGCAGGGAGCCCAACATGGGGCTTGATCCCAGGACCCTGATATCATGACCTGAGCCAAAGGCAGATACTTAACTGACTGAGCCACCCAGGCACCCCTAAATCATTATTTTATTATTATTCAAATAATTTCACAAATTAAGTCTCTTTGAAGAGACTAGCAATGAAGCTGCCCCACAATTATGTAAGACAGATATTATAATGTGCAGCTTTCCAAGTCCTTGTTTTACAAACCGATTCAAAAACTTGGAAAGCAAGGAAGAGAAAAGGACCCTAAAATTAAAAATTCTGAACAACTGTAGTCAGAGACGACAAAAGGAGTAAAATGAAAAAGAATTCTTATAGGCAATGTGTCTGAAGATATACAGCAGGATACACACACACTTTTGTATTCACGTTACAAAGCATGGTAACATAATGAATACCTGGGAACCAACCATGCAACTTCATCACTAGACAATCCCAAGGAGTCAAAGTCAAACTGCATTCTTCTCTATTGTATTCTCTTGCCTCACCTCCCCAAGCCCCACCCCATGAAGTAATCACTGCCTCTTTTGTGCCATTTATATGATGGGATTCTAGGAACATTTTCAAGAATGAAATTAGTACAAATTCACTTGAGTAGAAAAACTAATTTATATTCATCTACTAATATCAGGGACAGCACACAGTATCCCTACTGCTATGAAATCTTACACCACCACCATCTCTATTAAAAATCTTCTCATAATTAAGTCATCTCATAATTGATTTTCTCAATCATCATCTCAAATATTCTATTAAGCAGATCAAAATAAGCCTAACTTTTTTTAACTTCTTAGAATAAAGATGGTTAAGCATACCACAGCATACTACTTCTATTAGATAATAGCTCAAGAAAAGATTAAAATACTTATAGGCAACTTACTTCATGTAAATTCAGTTCTTTAACTTTCTCTTTTAATATAACCTGTAAGACAAAAAAGTATGTTATGCCCATTTAAATTTATAGTTAAAAAATTTCTCATTATACTAAAACATATTTTTCTTTTGTATATGTAGCTCACTTCTCCTCCTGTTCAATAGTGGAAAAAAAATCTCTTTTATATTGAGACAGAACATTTTAGCCATATTTTTTTTAGCAACATTTTTTTTTAACTTGAGCAGTGATGCAATGTTCTCCTGAAAAACAATTTTAAAATCCCTTTGAGTATAGATTAAATTTCAGGAAAAGACATAAATACATGCTCATCTGGACCAAGTGCTAACTTAGGAGGAAAATAAATGAGGTTGACTCTCATGATTCACTAAAACAGTATTAGCTGATGAGAACTATTAATGTATAAAAGATTAAAAAAATAAGGTCAAACTTAATTTTGCAAGTTTTGCTTATTTTTATTCATCATTATCCTCAGAAAATTTTAGCTCTACCCAAAGTCATGTAAATGAACTTAAAATTCACCCAGGTGCCATCCCCAACCTGTGGTAACTGGATACCAGTTAAAAAAATGACAAGTGATAAGAGGGCAGCAGATTCTTATTTAAAAAGAAAATTTCCAGGGGCGCCTGACTGGCTGTTGGTAGAGCATGTGACTCTTGATCTCGGGGTTGTGAATTCAAGCCCCATGTTGGGTGTAGTGATTACTTAAACAAATAATATCCTTAAAAAAAAAAAAAAATAGAAAATTTTGGAGAATAAACAGCTTATTAGAATTATATGCCATCTTAAAGTCAAAAAATAAGTAAGTGAAATTTGGGGGGAAATCTCCCAGTTTTGAGTATCTTACATTCTTGAACCAAAAATGGTTTTCAGGGCAAATCATATTTTCAGAAATCACAACCAAAAGCTATCATCCAGCTATGCAGGGATGTACTAAATTTCCAATTCAGTATATTTTAAAAACCACTTTACTGTCTATCTTGTTACTCTATTAACTCTATCAGTCAATTTTACTTGTTAAATGACCATCAAGGCCAATTTTACTTTCTAGTTAGCTTACATCTTACATACAAATATCTTATAGGTTGTCAAATTTATGATAATATTGAGACAAAAGGATTCATTAATTTAGAAAACTAAAACATTCAACTCTATGAATCTCACATGAGACCTATCGGGAAGACCATGGGGTTACCTATGAACATCAGTGTGGACATCTAAAGGACTTGACAATGAGCTCAGATTTCAAAGAGATATAAACAAAAGATGGACAAAGAGATACGTAATCCTAAAATGGTGACATGGTCCTGCAGCATCAGTGTCAGCAAGGTTAAAGACCCAAATAAACTAAAGCTTACCCCACGACTCCCTAAAAACAAACAAAAAACAAAGAAAAACAAAACAAAACCAAAACCCAAATCCCAAAACCAGAAAGCAAAAAAAACTAAGGACAATAAAAATAATTTCATACTTTGGGCCAAAAGAAAATTAAGGAACACCTAGGCCCACTGTTTGGTGTCCGTGGTAAAATGTCATCAGATGACACATGGAAGAAAAAACAAATTTTACTTGGCCATCAAGAAAAGCTAAATTTATTCCCTTAAAGAACAAATCGGTAAAGGAATGACAGTACAAAGGGTAGGGATTAACAGCAATGACCCAAGTATTTAGACTTCCGATAATGTGACGTGAGAGAGGAGGAGGAGATAAGATCACTATAATGCAACTGTTCACCTCTGAGGAACGGATATGTCTTCTAACGGAAGAAGTAACAAATTCATTTAATGGGATCTCTTAACTCTACTAGATTAACAGTAATTTTAAGGATTATTAACCATAGCATTTTCCTTTAGCAGTGTTGGCTAAAGTTCCCTGTTGTATTATTATATCATCTGAACTTCAAATAATGAGGAATGCTTAAAGTGAAGTTGATTTATTTTGTACTGCAAACTGGAAGTGAAATGCTAAAATGAACACAAGTAAATCCAGTCCCAGTTTAAAATATTAATGGAAATCTAAGTTCTCATTTTTTGGTTAAAAAAAATCAAGGCCAATCTGAAGTAGATTTCTTACCTGTTTGTAGGCATAAAATTCTTTGTGTGCTTGATGTCTTAGCCTAAAAGACAAATGAGCAATGTGATATTGAGGTTTCGAATATAACGATTTGATAAAAAGATCTTAAACAGATTTTTGATATTAATTTACATCATTTATGGTTTAAAATCCAAAATCTTTATCCTGAAAAACACCCAAATGACATATCTGTTACCATGTTATGAGAAAGTAGCCAAAGAACCATAAAATGTTATGTTATCCAAATGTTAAGTTCAAGTGAAATCTCATTAAAACAAAATCTTAATACAACAAATATTTAAATGAAGAAGCTTCAATTCTATTTATATTGGTGACAGTCCACTTGTTTTAGTATTTAATAGATCACATTTTTTCTTAATTTAAAAAATTTAAGTGTAACATCCATCTAATAATGTAAAGAAACCTTAAGAATACAGTTAAATGTGGGGCACCTGGGTGGCTCCGTTGGGTAAGCATCTGCTTTCGGCTCAGGTCATGATCCCAGAATGCTGGGATGGAGCCCTGCATCTGTCTCCCTGCTCAGCGGGGAGTCTGCTTCTCCCTCTGCCCCTCCCCCCTGCTCCCTGTTCGTGCTTGCTCTCACTGGCTCGCTCTCTCTCGTTCTCACTTTCTCTAAGAAATAAATTTTAAAAATCTAAAAAAAATTAAAAAAATACAGCTAAATGTTAAAAAAAAAATATATATATATATGTACATACACACACACACACACACAAGTGTAACATCACACAGATCAAGATATAGAACATTTCCAGGACCCCTGAAATGACTATCAATATCTACCCCTAAGAGGTACTCACTATCCTGATTCCTATCATTATAGATTAACTGTGCTTGTTTTGAACTTCACTTAAATGTATCATGTGATATATGCTTTTTGTGTTGGCTTCTTTCAGCTAACAATTACTTGTGAAATTCATCCACATGGTTGCAGTAATTCTTTTTGACTGATATATAGTGTTCCACTGTATGAATATAAGACTATCCATTACACTGTTGATGAATATTTAGGTTACTTCCAGTTTGGGGCTATTATAAAGAAAGCTGCTACATAAATTCTACGTCTTTTAGTGGACATATAGATTTAATTCTGTTGAGTATATACCTAGGAGTAGAACTGCTAGTCAAATGCTTGTACTGATTTCTATTCCTAGATGTAATGCACTAGAGCTCTTGCTGTTTCACATCTTTGCCACTACTTGGTAGGATCAGTTAAAAAAAATTTAGCCAATCTGTTAAGTATTCAGTCGTATCTCATTTCAGCTTTAATTTGCATTTCACATTTGATGTTCAGCACCCTCAGCACCCTTTTGTAAGCTTATTGTCCATTTGGATAACTTCCTTTATAAAATGCCTGTTTGATGGGGCACCTGGGTGGCTCAGTCAGTTAAGCGTCTGCCTTTGCCTTGGGTCATGATCGCAGGGTCCTGGGATCAAGCCCCACATTGGGCTCCCTGCTCTGTGGGAGGCCTGCTTCTCCCTCTCCCACTCCCCCTGCTTGTGTTCCCTCTCTCGATGTGTCTGTCAAATAAATAAAATCTTTAAAAAAAAATAAGAAAAATGCCTGTTTGAGTCTTTAAAAAATGAGTTACCTTTTTCTTATTGATTTGTAGGAGTTCTTTATATATTTCAGACGCAAGTCCTCTCTTGGGTCTATGTACTGCAATTATCTCCCACTCTATGGCTTGTGTTTTCATTCTCTTGATGGTATCTTTTTTTTTTTTTTTAAAGATTTTATTTATTTATTTGACAGAGAGAGACACAGCGAGAGAGGGAATACAAGCAGGGGGAATGGGAGAGGGAGAAGCAGGCTTCCCGCGGAGCAGGGAGCCCGACGCGGGGCTTGATCCCAGGACCCTGGGATCATGACCTGAGCCGAAGGCAGATGCTTAACGACTGAGCCACCCAGGAGCCCCTTGATGGTATCTTTTGATGAACAGAAGCTTTTAATTTAAATTAAGTCCAATTTATAAACTCTTCCCAATAATGTCAAGTTCTTTTTGCATCCAGTTAAAGAAATCTTTGCCTACACCCCGATCAGGAAGATATTCTCTTGTGTGTATTGTGAAAACAATTTGTTATTTTACCTGTTACATTTAGGTATCCAGCCAAAATTACTTATGATCCATCTGAAATTAGTCTTTATATATGATGTGAGGAAGGGGTCAAGATTCTTTCTATCCACATGCAGATTTTCATTTGATTCATTTATTCAAAAGACCCTATTTTCCCTATTGCATGGCAGTGGCACATCTGTCATAAGTCAGATCCAATATGTGGGTCTGTTTCTAGAGTTCTGTTCTATTCCATTGGTCTATTTGCCTATTCCTGTATACTTGGTTGAATAGTCTAAAAACTTTATGTCTGCTGGAACCTCAGAATGCAACCCTATTTGGAAATAGAGACTTTGTAGATTATTTAGTTAAAATGAGGTCATATTAAATCCAATATGACTGGTGTAGAAGAAGGCCAGGTGAAGACAGAAACAGACTGAAATCATGCAGGTACAAGCCAAAGAACATCAAAGATTTCTGGTAACTACCAGGAACTAGGGAAGAGGCAAGGATTCTCCCCTAGAGCCTTCAGAAGGAGCATGGACCTGCTGACACCTTGATTTCAAACTTCTAACCTCCAGAACTGTGAGATTAGGGTTCTGTTATTTTTAAGCCACTTGGTTTGTGGTACTTTGTTATAGCAGCCCTGGGAAATGAATGCACCTGATGTCATTACCACATTATTTTTTTTTAAGATTTTATTTATTTATGAGAGAGAGCGAGCACAAGGAGGGGGAGTGGCAGGCAGAGGGGGAATGGCAGGCAGAGAGGGAGAAGCAGGCTCCCCACTGAGCAAGGAGTCCAATGCAGGACTTGATCCCAGGACTCTGGGATCACGACCTGAGCTGAAGGCAGACGCGTTATGACTGAGCCACCCAAGCAGCCCCACATTAGTTTTTTCTCTTAACTTTTATCTGAAATAATTTCTCAGAATAGCTGCAAAAAGAAAAGCTGCAAAAAGTAGAGTTCACATAAATTTCCTCTCAGATTTACCAATGTTCACATCTTACAAAACCATTGTACAGTGATCAAACCCAGGAAATTAACACTGATATTATTAATATTGTCATAATATTAAACATTGTTTGAATTTCACTTTTTTTTCATTATTGTCCTTTTCCTGTTCTATTATCCAATCCAAGATCCTACCTTGCATCTATTTATGTCTCCTTAGCCTCTTCCAATCTCTGACAATTCTTTAGTTTTCCCTTGACTTTCAATTTGACACATTAACCAATGATCATTAGGTTATGGAGGTGTCTACCAGGTCTCTCCACTGTAAAAGGTACTATTTCCCTCTTTGTGACTGATCAATATCTTGGGGAAGAGATGTTGAAACTATGCAAATACCTGTTTTTTTCTCAAACTTTTGCCCACTGATTTTAGCACCCATCTTGCTTGCAACAATTACTGTAGTGGCTACATGGTGGTGGTTTTGTAGTTTTCTAATTCCTTGTACATTAATTGGAATTCTTCTGTATGGAAGAGTTGTCCGTTCTTATTTATTTATATCAGTATTAATTTGTGGATATTTTAGTCTATGGGTTATAATTCAGTATGATCATTTGTTTTGTTGCTCAAACTGATTTAGGGTTGGCCTTCAGAAGCTCCATCACGTTGACGCCTGTGTCCTTTCAATATGCCCTCATCCTTTTCCATGCACATCCTTGCTTACTGGCACCAAAAGGTGTTCCAGGCTCATCTTGTATTTCCTATGCCCCAGTTGTGGAATTAACCACTTTTTCAAAAGAATCTTGGTTCCTTTTATTGGAGAAGAGTATTTAGAAACCAAATTCTGGGTGCTAGGTGAATAGCACTTTGTTTTAAATACTGGGGCTTTGTAACAAGTATGTGTCTGGCAGTAGTAAGTCCTCAAGCTCTGCTCTTAACTACTGTCTTGGCTATTCTTTTTTTTTTTAAAGACACATTTATTCAGCATCATGATCAGACTATTACATTTAGCAATCAAGAGCATGGCTGCAAAAAAAAAATCTACATTAAAACCCTTTGTTGGAATGCTTTACACTTTCCACAGAACAGAAACAAAAATAACCTGTTATACAATTAGTCACAAATATAGTCCTCGAGTTTTTTGCCCATACACATGAGTATTGTCTAAAACAGGTCTTCTTTGTAGCAGCTCGGCCCTGCCACCACTGTGCTTGGCTGAGTTCACAAATCTGTTGTAACCTATAGCTTCCCTGTCACTTCTCTGGCTCTCCTCTCCTGCTAAGCTTTGTTTCCTGGCAGTGATTAAAACCTTCTGCCACTGCCGTAGCTACTGCTGCTGCTGGAACCACCACAGCCACCTTGGTTTCGTGGTTTGGCAAAGTACTGGCCTCCACCACCACAGGGGCCAGAGCTTCTGCCTCCAAAATTTCCTCCTTTCATGGGTCCAAAATTTGAGGATTGACTGTTGTAATTGCCAAAATCATTATAGCTTCTGCCACCCCCAAAGTTGCTTCCATCATTACCAAATCAGTTACAGCCATCCCCACTGCCACGATATCCATCACCACCTCGAATGCCACCAAAGCCACCTCGACCACTGAAGTTCCCTCCATGACCAAAGTTGTCATTCCCACCAAAACCACCTCCACGACCACCACCAAAGTTTCCAGAACCACTTTGACCTCTTTGGCTGGATGAAGCACTAGCCATCTCTTGCTTAGATAGGGCTTTCCTTACTTCACAGTTGTGGCCATTCACAGTATGGTATTTTTGAATGACAGTCTTGTCTACAGAGTCATGGTCATCAAATGTTACAAAAGCAAAACCTCTCTTTTTGCCACTGCCTCGGTCAGTCATGATTTCGATCACTTCAATTTTCCCATACTGTTCAAAATAATCTCTTAGATGATGTTCGTCAGTATCTTCTTTAATGCCACCAACAAAAATCTTTCCGCAGCTGTTCAGGCTCTTTGGGAGACTCTGACTTAGACATGATGGCGGTGGGAGGGGAGACTTTAACAATGCTTACTCGGCAGCGTCCACGGGCATAAAAGCTATCTTGGCTATTCTTTTTTTTTTTTAAAGATTTTATTTATTTATTTGACAGAGAGAGACACAGCGAGAGAGGGAACACCAGCAGGGGGAGTGGGAGAGGGAGAAGCAGGCTTCCCGCCAAGCAGGAAGCCCGATGCGGGGCTCGATCCCAGGACCCTGGGATCATGACCTGAGCCGAAGGCAGACACTTAACGACTGAGCCACCCAGGCGCCCCAAGTCTTGGCTATTCTTGATCCTCTGCACTTCCATATAAATTTTATGAGGTAGTCACTTTCCACAAAAAATCTGTTGGGATTTTAACTGAGGTTGTATATAGAATTTATAGATCAATTGTGAAAGAACTGACATCTTTGCAAGACAAAGTTTCCAACCTATGAACGTAGTATATTCCTCTATTTATTAGATCTTCTTTCTTTCTACACATTTCTATGTAGGACATGTAATTTTCTGTATTTTTGATTACAACATCCTAGTAGTTGTGAAGTGGTATCTCATAGTGGTTTTAATTTGCATTTCCTTTATGATCAATGATGTTGAACTTCTTTTCATGTACTTGCTGGCCATTCATATATCCTTTTTGGGGAAACGGCTATTTATTCAAGTCCTTTGTCTATTTTAAAATTCAGTTGTCTTTTTGTCATTGAATTGTAAGAATTTTAAAAAAATATATTCTGCTTATTAAATCCTTATCAGATATATGAATTAGAGGGGCGCCTGGGTGGCTTAGTCGGTTAAGTGTCTGACTTCGGCTCAGGTCATGATCCCACTCCCCCTATTTGTGTTCCCTCTCTTGCTGTGTCTCTCTCTGTCAAATAAATAAATAAAATCTTAAAAAAAAAAAAAAAAGCTTTTCCTAAAAGCTGTAATTAGCTAAAGTGTTTATTACTCTGAGAAAGACCTAAAAAATCATACCCAGCCAGCATATCTATGAGAGATAAGAAGTGATTACATTTTGTGAGAGCTTCAGAAAAGATTCACTTTCTATGAAGAACGTAAATTCACTTGTCAGAATATTGGAAATACACACTAAATTAGTTTGAATTTGACCATCAGTGAGTGGTCACTGGAGGAAACAATTAATTATTGCTGAAAGATATCTGATGATGGTATTTATCTCAACCATAATCACATACTATGCAAATACTAAAAATTGTTAGAAGTATAGTTGTTTAATAAAACCCAGCTTTCTACCCTTTTACTCATAAAACTCTTTGAACAATATAGTATACGAATTTTTGTAGTCTGAGTTTTGGCTTTGAATATTAGATCCTACTTAAAAACTTAAAAGAGGAAGATGCTTGCTTAAACAATTGTAAGTAAGTCAACTGTGAATCTTTACTGGCCAAATCCATTACTCCTTCAAGTAAGGTGTCACTTGTCTGTACATGTGCTGTAGAGCTTGTGGAATAGTTTTTTTTTTAAGTTTTTATTTATTTGAGAGAGAGAGGGAGAGGCATGAGTGGTAGGGAGGGGCAGGAGGAGAGGGAGAAGCAGACTCCCCACTGAGCAGGGAGCCCAATGCAGGACTCGATCCCAGGACCCTGGGATCATAACCCAAGACAAAGGCAGACACACAACCGACTGAGCCACCCAGGTGCCCTGAATATTTAGAGTTTTATGTAGATAATCAATAACCTGAACACCTGACCAAAGCAGCTTAAAATCTTAAGAGACCACAAGAACCTGTTTAAAGGCTCAGATCTTGTTGCAGCTCTTGATCAAGAGCTCATGAGTTTGAGCCCCACACTGGGTGTAGAGATTATTTGAATAATAAATAAACAAACTTTAAAAAAAAAGAAAATTTGCTAATTATCGTACTTACACAATTTTTTAACATAAGGGCAGAAAGCTGATTTATAATTGATTGTTTAACATATTCTGAAGTAACATAGAATGAAAATTGATTACCTAATCAAGTAGCAACAGAAGAGTAAACTAAGGATGAAGACAAATATAGCAGTGCCAAAAACCACAATATATATGTTGAGAGGCAGATTCTGGAATCCAATATTAGGCATCCTGAAGTTGTAATGTGGGAAATCCGAGCTCATGGATGAACTGTGGGGGAAGAATGGAAAAAAATTAGGTTATAAAGACTAAGAACCAAGATAGCATTATCTTTGTATGTATACAAGGCAACAATTTTATTAAGACTTGACCCCATTTGAAACAAATACGATAAAGAGTTAATATTCTTGCCATTCATTCATTTATCATGCCACAAATATTTACTGAGTACTTGCTATGTACCTGGCACTATTCTAGAAGCTTGAGATCCTACCTAAAAAACTTTTACAAATTACATTCATTCATAAAAAGGCATTTCACTGGGACACCTGGGTGGCTCAGTTGGTTAAGTGTCTGCTTTTGGCTCAGGTCATGATCTCAGGGTCCTGGGATTGAGTCCCGCACTGGGCTATTTGCTCAGCGGGGAGCCTGCTTCTCCCTCTGCCTGCCACTCCCCCCTTCTTGTGCTCTCTCTCTCTCTGACAAATAAAATCTTAAAAAAAAAAAAAAAGGGCACCTGGGTGGCTCAGTTGGTTAAGTGACTGCCTTCGGCTCAGGTCATGATCCCAGAGTCCTGGGAGTGAGTCCCGCATCGGGCTCCTGGCTCGGCGGGGAGCCTGCTTCTCTCTCTGACCCTATCCCCTCTCATGCTGTTTCTCTCTCTCTCTCTCTCTCTCAAATAAATAAATAAATAAAATCTTTAAAAAAAAAAAAAAAGGTATTTTGCTGAAATAATGCCAGGAATCAATAAACATATGAAAAAGTTCAACCTCAAACTGCTCAGGCTCTCCGCTCAGCTGGGAGTCTGCTTTTCCCCTCTCACTCTTCCTCTGTGCGTTCTCTCTCAAATAAATAAATAAAATCTTAAAAAAAAAAAAAGTAGCTGCATTAATAATGGTAAAATATTCTCACAAGGAGGTAATGATTAAATAATTATGTGGAATCATGTTACAGTATTATGAGGTCATGAAAATCTGTTTCAGTAAATTTTAATATCAAGGGCAAGATAAAGGTGTGTGGGAGGGGCACCCGGGTGGTTCAGTGGGTTAAGTGCCTGGTTTTTTTTTTTTTAAGATTTTATTTATTTGACAGAGACAGACACAGCGAGTGAGGGAACACAAGTAGGGGGAGTGGGAGAGGGAGAAGCAGGCTCTCCGCTCAGCGGGGCTTGATCTCAGGACCCTGAGATCATGACCTGAGCCGAAGGCAGACGCTTAACGACTGAGCCACCCAGGCGCCCCAGTGCCTGGCTTTTGATTTCGGCTCAGATCGTAATCTCTGGGTCATGGGATTCAGCCCTGCATTGGGCTCCACACTTGGGGGGATGTCTGCTGGAGATTCTCTCCCTCTCCCTCTCTCTCAAATAAATAAATCTTTTTTAAAAAAGATTTTATTTATTTGTCAGAGAGAGAGCACACAAGCAGGGGGAGCAGTAGGCAGAGGGGGAAGCAGGCTCCCCGCTGAGCAAGGAGCCCGATGTGGGACTTGATCCCAGGACCCTGGGATCATGACCTGAGCTGAGCTGAAATCAAGAGTTAGCACTTAACCGAGTTACCCAGGTGCCCTATGACTTATTTTTTTAATTAATTTTTTAAAAAAGATTTTATTAATTTATTTGACAGAGAGAGCAAGAGAGCACATGCAGGGGGAACAGTGGAGGGAGAGGGAGAAGCAGACTCCCCGCCGAGCAAGGAGCCGGATGTGGGGCTCGATCCCAGGACCCTGCGATCATGACCTGAGCTGAAAGCAGATGCTTAGCCATCTGAGCCTCCCAGGTGCTCTTTTTTTTTTTAATTATTTTTATTAACATATAATGTATTATTTGTTTCAGGGGTACAGGTCTGTGATTCATCAGTCTTACACAATTCACAGCACTTACCATAGCACATACCCTCCCCAATGTCCATCACCCAGCCACCCCATCCCTCCCACTCCCCTCCTCCACTCCAGCAACGCTCAGTTTGTTTCCTGAGATTAAGAGTCTCTTATGGTTTGTCTCCCTCTCTGGTTTTGTCTTGTTTCATTTTTTCCTCTCTTTCCCTATGATCCTCTGTCTTGTTTCTCAAATTCTACATATCAGTGAGATCATATGATAATGGTCTTTCTCTGATTGACTTATTTCACTTAGCATAATACCCTCTAGCTCCATACACATCGTTGCAAACGGCAAGATTTCATTTTTTGATGGCTGCATAATATTCCATTGTATATATATACATCTTCTTTATCCATTCATCTGTTGATGGACATCTAGGCTCTTTCCGTAGTTTGGCTATTGTGGACATTGCTGCTATAAACATTGGGGTGCACGTGCCCCTTCGGATCACTACATTTGTATCTTTGCCCCAAGACTTATTACTTTTACTTATTAATTTCCAGCTTCTAATAACTTATACCAGGAAGTCAACAGCTGCAAAGGACAACTTCATCCCATGGAACTCTTCTCTGAGAACTTCCAAACATAAATAATGGGTAATATTTAGTTTTGAACCTTTAGCCATTTTCTGCAAGTGTTTTTTTACTCAGATACATAATTTCCTTTTTCCTACACTCAGATCATCTTGGAGGGGAAGGAAGGAGTTAAGGAATACTTCATTGAATATATCTAGCACGTACATTAGAGAACTGTAAAAAAATTATAGCTGCACTAAACTTAACTCAATCTCCACATTGCTGAGAGGGCCTCACTTGATGACCCTTGCTACAGTCAAGAATTAGATGGCTGTCCTTCAATCCCTTAGAAATATCCTTCACCAGACAAACTAGGCTTGGTAAAAGAACTCTCACCTTAGGAAATAAGAGATTAAACATCCATCCTGTAAGGGCTAATAGAGAGGAAATACGCAAACAGAAAGTGGTGTCATAGAAAAAGGGACAGGTTTGCAGTCAGCAACTCTGGATATTGTTCCCAGGGTATCAACTAGCTATACATCAGTAATTGGTCCATCTATACCTTAATTTTCTCATCTTTCAAGTGGAACAATTCCTATTCTATGGACTTCGATGGATTCCTGGAAAGATAAAATAAGACCACAGATACTGAAGTGTCTGAAAACTCTAAGAGGACAAAATACTAAGGTTTTAGTGTATTTGTGTGTGTGTGAGCACATTTTGGCAGGGACAAGGAGGAGGGGTGACATTAAGTAAAAGAACATAAAAGAAGCCCTGACAAAGATCAAGTCTCTGGAAAGGATTTCACCAACCAAGTGCTCCTTTCTCAGGGAGCTCCTTGCACACGCTGCTAAGCTTTGTGTCAAGTGGCCTGCCAACCTGGTCCCAGAGGCAGAAACGGGAAACTTATTTTGGCTAAAAGCAGCCATCAATATAGGCCAGCAGGAAGTGTGTCAGTGGTGTGAGAATGTTGCCCTGCAGGAGTCCTTGCACTGGGTGGCATCACCAACAAACCTGAGGAATTCTGAACAGGTACACAGACATGTAGAGTATCAAAGGTAGCACTGTCATTAGAGGGAAGAGACATCTACCTCGGTGCTCCTGAGACCTGGCTGCTGAGATTTTTCTATGAGTTCTCCCTTCTAGGCAGGGCCTTACAACCTATTACCAGAGGGGTGGGGTTGGCAGAGGATAGCTGATGCAGAATACATTTTAGGAATTTTCTCCTATTCTTTTGATAATTTAATTGCTTAGCTACAATTGAAATGTTGACCCAATAGTCTAAACAGATGGTGTATTATTCCAAGATGTTAATACTAGTCTAGTGACACTTTAGTTTTATAATATTTTCATCATAGTATCTTTTCAGCATGAGTATTAATCTTTTAAAATAAGGTCATTTTTAAAAAGAGAGCCACTGGGGCACCTGGATGGCTCAGATGGTTAAACATCTGCCTTTGGCTCAGGTCATGGTCCCGGGGTCCTGGGATCGAGCCCCACATCGGGCTCCTGGCTCAGCAGGGAGCCTGCTTCTGCCTCTTCCCCCTGCTCATGCTCTCTGTCTCAAATGAATAAATAAAATCTTTAAAAAAAGATAAAAAGAGAGCCACGATTGGGGTGCCTGGGTGACTCAGTCGGTTAAGCAGCTGACTCTTGATTTTGGCTCAGGTCATGATCTCAGGGTTGGGTATATCAGGCCCCATGTCAGGCTCTGTGTGCAGCAGGGGTCTGCTTAAGAGTCTCTCCCTCTGCCTCCCCCCCATATGTTCTCTAAAGTAAATGAATAAATCTTAAAAAAAAATAAAAAGAGATCCACTATTATCATCCTAGTAATAAGCATACTTTGTTATTTAGGTATTACAAATGTAAAAATTATTTAGGAACGGCTCCTTGTGGGAGTGAAGAGGAGAAATAGAACACACAGTGTACTGCTGGATCTTGGCATTTCTGATTTCATTTGCATGAAAATCTTTTCCCTCTTTATGAAATTCATAGCTCCTGATATCTCTAGTCTCAGTCTAAATTTCAAATCATCTAATCAGGTTATTTAAAAAAGAAAAGAGGGGTGCCTGGGTGGTTCAGTTGGTTAAGCATCTGCCTTCGGCTCGGTTCATGACCCCAGGTTCCTGGGATTGAGCCCTGCATTGGGCTCCCTGCTCAGGAGGGAGCCTGCTTCTTCCTGTCCCGGTCCCCTGCCAGTGCGTATGCTCTCTGTTGAATAAATAAAATCTTAAAAAAAAAAAAAAAAAATTAAAAATTAAAAAAGAAAAGAAAGAGGTGGGAAGATCTGAGTATTTTATGGGCAGTGGGATTTTCCACCAATATAGAAAAGGGACAGAGTATGAGATTTGGCTGCAGAGAGGTCATGAGTTTAACACAATGCACCACAGCCAGAAAGGCTACAGCAGTGTTTCTTGAAGTGTGTTTGGTAGCCACATTCTTCCTAGGCCAGTTCCTGTTCCCTGGACAATACCACACCATCTTCCCAGTAATTAGCATTCTACTTTTGCTTTAAAAATGCTCAGAAAAAACGGTATGGAGGTTCAAGAAGTTAAAAATAGAGCTACCCTATGACCCAGCAATTGCACTACTAGGTATTTACTCCAAAGATTCAAAGGTAGTGATCTGAAGGGGCACCTGCACCCCAATGTTCATAGCAGCAATGTCCACAATAGCCAAACTGTGGAAAGAGCTGAGATGTCCATTGACAGATGAATGGATAAAAAAGATATGGTATGTATATATAACGGAATATAACTCAGCTATCAGAAAGGATGAATACTTACCATTTATACTGATGTGGATGGAACTGAAGGGTATTATGCTGAGTGAAATAAGTCAATCAGAGAAAGACAATTATCACATGGTTTCACTCATATGTGGAATATGAGAAACAGCGCAGAGGATCATAGGGGGAAGGGAGGGAAAACTGAATGGGAAGTCATCAGAGAGGAAGAAGAACCATGAGAGATTCTTAACTACAGGAAACAAACTGAGGGTTGCTGGAGGGGAGGTGGGTGGGGGGATAGGGTAATTGGGTGATGGGCATTAAGGAGGGCATGTGATGCGATGAGCACTGGGTGTTATATGCAACTGATGAGTTACTGAACGCTACATCTGAAACTAATGATGTACTATATGTTGGCTAATTGAATTTAAATTAAAAAATGCTCAGAAAAAGAGACACCAATAATTAGATTGCTGTATTTTACAATTTATGGTTCACAAACCATTAAAAAAAACCCCACATACTTGTGTCTTATAATATAGATGTCCAAGAAAAACTTAAGAAAAATTATTTTAGGCTTTTAAAATCTTTTTTTTTTTTTTGAAAAATGAGACATAATTTACTTAAAAAAATGCACCCACATTGTGTGTACAGGTCAAAGAGTTTGGACAAATGAATACACCCATGTTACCACAACCCTAATCAAGACACAGAACATTTCCATTTACCCAGAAAGTTCCCTTGCGCCCCTGTGCAGTTAATCGCCACTCCCAACCACTGATCTGATTTCTATCATTACAGATTAATTTTCCTTAATCTAGAATTTCATAGTTAAATGGAATCACACTGTATGTACTCCTTTATGTTCAGCTTCTAGTCACTCAGTAGGTCCTTGAAAGACTCTTTTTTTTAAAAGTATTTATTTATTTTAGAGAATGAGCATGAGTGGGGGGAGGGGCAGAGAGAGAGGGAGAGAGAGAAGCTCTAGCAGACTCTATGTTGAGCATGGAGCCTGACATGGGGCCAGATCTCACGACCCTGAGATCACGACTTGAGCTGAAACCAAAAGTCAGATGCTCAACTGACTGAGCCACCCAGGTGCCCCTAAAAGACTCATAACAAATAGTTATAGAAAATACTTCACATTATATTCCCAGTTTGCTCTAATTATATTATCTACAATTATAGTCTCTTAAAGATTAACTCCATCTTTGAATATATCAATTTTATGGTTAATCCCTTGATACTTCTTTCTATACAGAATTCCTGGTTATCCTTTTAAGTTGTTTAATTGATTTCATGGAAGAAATTTTTATCATGTCCTTTATATAGGTGTTCCTTTCCATTTTTTAAGTCTTCAGTTGAGCACTTTCTTTCTACCTATTATTTTTTAAGTCTTCAGCAAAAGAAACATAAACCTTGATTCACTCACCATGTTTTGTCCTGATCAAATTCTAAGAGAAAATAAGAACTCGGAGGTACTCAGGAGTGAAACAGTGAAGCTCCTTTTATGGTGAGGCATCTGCTGACATGGGCAAGTCTCCAGGGGCTAGGAGAACAGAAGTCCTAGCTCAGAACCTAGCCCAGGTGGGCTCCTTCATCAAGCCAGGGGGAATACAAAGGAAGTGGATATGCACAGAATTTTTTCTTTCACTGCTGTTCTTTGATTATTTTCAACTTTTATTTCCATAGAATCATGAAAAAAAAAAAACAAACCCTGTGCATCTATGGTCCTATACATCTATCTGTTGGTGGGAAACAGTATGACTAATGCACACATAACACAATCAACACCTGGGACTGCTTAAACATTTTTGTTCATTTATTTTGCTGCTTTTATTTCATTTCCTATTTCAAAAGTATCTTTTCCCCTCAAGTACATTCTGAGAATTCTCATCAACTCATCCTCTGTTTTTGTATCTCTGGAGTTATTTCCCTCTTTCTTAGAACTTTATGCTTTACTTTGTTAATACTTGGTACAATTTCTCTAGTCTTTGGATCTCTAAATACATGACTTCTGCTCTTGATACATTATTTTCACAATGCTGCTTGCATATGTTTGCAGCCTGTATACTACAATTTCTTTTTTCATTGTAATCCTCTACATCTTTTAAGTTGATGTATTTACTCTAGGAGGGAGTCCACATAGAACACAACAAGCAAGAGGCCTGACCAGACAAGCTTCATCTCCTTCCCTGGTTAGTAGCATTTACTAGTAGAGGTTGTTGGTCACATTATGTCAAACACAGGAGTTAAGATGGTGGAGTTACAGTAGGGGGACCCTGAGCTTGCCTGGTCCCTCAAACATAGGTAGATCAAAATCAAATCATTTTGAACAACTATGAAATCAATCTGAGGATTAAGAAAACAATCTGCATGATTGGAGGGAGAGAGCATGGCAGATGTGAGGTTCAGAGCTGTGAACTGGGGGAGAGAAAAGCCGCAGTGCCGTGAAGGGGAGGGACCCCTTTTCACAGAGCAAAGTTGGGGAGAAAAGAGAGAGCAGGAGAGAGAGCAGTGCACAGGGTTCGCACAATACACTGTGGTGAGGGGATCCCCTGGGTCACACTGGGAGAGATTACTCCCCTTCCTGGAGTACATTTGGAAGAGGGTACTTTGCCTCTCCAAGGACAAAAGGACTGCCGGGAGCCATTGAGTGACCGTTCAACAGCACAAGACAGAGGTGCAGGCAGAGAGCAGATAACCTGGTTGCAGTTTTTCCGCTGCATGTCACAATAGACTCCAGCCACCAAGTGCAGCCCTGTGACTGCTTTTCTGGGACAGAACAGTGCCCGGTGCACAGTGAAGCCCTCCTCAGGAGGAAGGGATCAGGTCCATGCTTTGCTGTGCCCTTTAGGATTTGGAGTTTTTCTTTCTTCTTCCTTCTTTTTAATGTAGGCTCCACACCCAGCACGGAGCCCAAGGTGGGGCTTGAACTCATGACCCTGAAATCAAGATCTGAGCCAAGATTAAGAGTCAGATGCTTAAACGATTGAGCCACCCAGGTGCCCCAGATTTGGAATTTTGAATCCCAGCCAGTCACCAGAGGTAAAACAGAACTGTGGTGCTGGGCATGCCAATGGCCGGGCACAGACAGATTAAGGGCAGGGATCTGACAAAAGCCTGGGACACAGGAGAGGAGACTGCTTTTCTGTGAGGGCCTCCTGAATGGGGGTGGAGGGGGGGCAGCAAATTCCCTTTCACTCCCCGGGAGGAGAGGGCTGGGGTGATGATGTCATCTTCCACCACTCCCCACATCCCAGCACAGTTAGACTTGAGAGAGAAACATAGCACCTCCAATGGAGGCTGGAGTTGATTTCACCAAACCTTGTCCCCCTGCACCCCACAAGGGCATCTTTACAAGGGCAGGTCTGATTGTGAGCCAGCACAGCAGACCTCTCCCTCAGACCAACACAGGCCCCTTGCACGTAGCAATTCTACCCATCACAGAGTGTTCAAAAAGCGTCAGCCTCAGTTCTGGTGGAAATAGGACCAGGCTTTTTTTTTTTTTTCAATTTTATTTTTTATATTTTTATTTTGTTTTTTTCTTCTTTTTCTTCCTTTTTTGTTTAGCATCAGGCTTATAGGTTTTTGTTTGTTTGTTGGATTGTTTGTTTCCTTTTCTTGGATCAGGCTTTTTTTTTTTTTCTATTTCTTTTCTTTTTTCCTTATTATTCTTTGGAATCAGGCTTATAGTTTTTTGTTTGTCTGTTTGTTTGCTTTCTTGTTCCTTTTCTCCAGTTAGGGCTTTTTTCCTTTTTCAGGTTTATATTAATAAACAAATCAAAGTACATCTAGTTAAAGGTCCAAACACCCCCCACCTCATCACCCCACCCCCCGCCAAACAAGGAGGAACTCTGCAGAGGACTGATCTGTGGGAAAGAGCAGCCAAAACAGAACAGCAGAGCACACTGGAAACACTTCCTGAAGTGCCAGCCCCTGAACAGTACATGACCTCTTCTTAATATGGTATTACTCTGAGGAGCAGGAAACATATCAAGCTTTCATAATACACAAAAGACAGAAACCTAGACATATGACAAGACTAGGGAATTCTCCCCAAAAGAAAGATCAGGAAGAAATCACAGCCAGGGATTTGCTCAAAATTCTGAACAAGAATTTAGAACAATAGTCACGGGGCGCCTGGGTGGCTCAGTCGGTTGGGCGTCTGCCTTCGGCTCAGGTCATGATCCCAGAGTTCTGGGATCGAGTCCCGCATCGGGCTCCTTGCTCAGTGGGGAGTCTGCTTCTCCCTCTCTCTCTGCCTGCTGCTCTGCCTACTTGTGCTCTCTCTCTCTCTGTCAAAAAAAAAAAAAAAAAAAAAAATCTTAAAAAAAAAAGAACAATAGTCATAAGAATACTAGCTGGGCTTGAAGAAGAAGGAAGACACCAGAGAAACCCTGGCTGCACAGATAAAAGACCCTAAAAAGTAGTCAGGCCGAAATGAAAAATGTTATAACTGATATGCAAAACCAAATGAATTATCACAATGAGGATGGAAGAAGCAGAGGATTGACAGGTGATATAGAAGATAAAATTATGGAAAATAACGAAGCTGAAAAGAAGAGGGAAAGAAAATTATTAGATCACAAATGTAGACTTAGTTAACTCAGTAATTCTGCAAAGTGCAATAATATCTGTATCACAGGAGTCCCAGAAGAAGAGAGCGGGGAAAAAGGGGCAGGTTTATTTGAAAAAATATTAGCTGAGTACTTCCTTAATCTGGGGAAGGACACAGGCATTCAAGGCCAAGAGGCATAGAGAACTCCTCTCAAAATCAACAAAAACAGGTCAACACCAAGACATGTCATAGCAAAACTTGCAAAATACAAAGTTGAAGAGAATTCTGAAAGCAGCTAGAGCAAATATCCTTAACCTACGAGGGCAGACACATAAGGTTAGCAGCAGACATGTCCACAAAAACTTGGCAGGCCAGAAAGGGGTGACGTGATATATTCAACGTGCTAAATGGGAAAAATATGCAGTCAAGAATACTTTATCCAGCAAGGCTGTCATTCAGAATACAAGGAGAAATAAAGAGTTTCCAAGACAAGCAAAAACTAAAGGAGTTCGTGACCACTAAACCAGCCCTGCAAGAAATAGTAAGGGGGAATCTTTGAGTGGGGGAAAAAAAACAAAAGACCAAAAGCAACAAAGACTAGAAAGGAACAGAGAACATCACCACGAACATCAACTTTACACAAAACACAATGGCACTAAAATCCTATCTTTCAATAATCACTCTGAATGTAAATGGAGTCAGTGCTCCAATCAAAAGACACAGTGTATCAGAATGGATTAAAAAACAAGACCCATCAATATGCTGTTTACAAGAGACTCAATTTAGACCCAAAGACATCTGCACATTGAAAGTGAGGGGGTGGAGAACCACCTATCATGCTAATGGATGACAAAAGAAAGCCAGAGTACCATACTTATATCAGACAAACTAGATTTTAAAACAAAAACTGTAACAAGAGATGAAGAAGGGCACTATATTATAATCAAGGGGTTTATCCAACAAGAAGATCTAACAAATATATATATTTGGGTGCTCCTATGTTGGGGGCATAAATATTTACATCAATTAGTAACAAACATAAACTCATTGATAATAATACAATAATGGTAGGGGACTTTAACACTCCACTTACAGCAATGGATGGATCATCTAAGCAGAAAATCAACAAGAAACAATGGCTTTGAATGACATACTTGGCCAGATAGATTTAACAGATATATTCAGAACACTTCATCTAAAGCAGCAGAATGAACATTCTTTTCGAGTGCACATGGAACATTCTCCAGAATAGATCACATACTGGGTCACAAATCAGCCCTCAACAGAACAGAAAGGTCAAGATCATACCAAGCATATTTTCAGACCACAACACTATCAAACCTGAAGTCAACCACAAGAAAAAATTTAGAAAGACCACAAACATATAGATGTTAAAGAACATCCTACTAAAGAATTAATGGGTTAACCAGAAAATTAAAAAAGAAATAAAAAAATACATGGAAGCAAATGAAAATACAACAGTCCAAGACCTTTGGGATGCAGCAAAGGTGGTCATAAGAGGAAAGTATATAGCAATACAGGCCTTCATCAAGAAGCAAGGAAAATGTCAAATACACAACCTAACCATATACCTAAAATAGCTAGAAAAGGAACAGCAAATAAAACATATGGCCAGCAGACGAAGAGAAATAATAAAGATTAGAGCAGAAATAAATGATATAGAAACAAACAAAAAACCAGTAGAACAGATCAGTGAAACCAGGAGCTGGTTCTTTGAAAGAATTATACGCAAATAGGGCGCCTGGGTGGCTCAGTTGGTTAAGCGACTGCCTTCGGCTCAGGTCACGATCCTGGAGTCCCAGGATCGAGTCCGGCATCGGGCTCCCAGCTCAGCAGGAAGTCTGCTTCTCCCTCTGACCCTCCCCCCTCTCATGCTCTATCTCATTCTCTCTCTCAAATAAATAAATAAAATCTTAAAAAAAAAAAAAGAATTATACGCAAACAATGAATCATGGAACACTACATCAAAAACTCATGATGTACTGTATGATGACTAACATAACAATAATAAAAAAAGGAAAAATAATTTAAAAAAAGAAAATTGATAACCCCCCAGCCAGACTTATCAAAAAGGAAAGAAAAAGGTCCTAAATAAATAAAATCACGAATGAAAGAGGAGAGATCACAACCAACACCACATAAATACAAATAATCATAAGAATATTATGAGCAATTATATGCCAACAAATTGGGCAATCTGGAAGAAATGGACAAATTCCTAGAAACATACAAACTATGAAAACTGAAACAGGAAGAAATAGAAAATTTGAACAGACCTGTAATCAGCAAAGAAATTGAGTCAGTAATCAAAAATCTCCCAACAAACAAAAGTCCAGGGTCGGGTGGCTTCCCAGGAGAATTCTACCAGCCATTTAAAGAAGTGTTAATACCTATCCTTCTCAAATTATTCAAAAAAATAGAAATGGAATGAAAACTTCCAAACTCATTCTATGAGGCCAGCATTACCTTGATTCCAAAACCAGACAAAGACACCATCAAAAAGGAGAATTACTGGCCAATATCCCTGATGAACATGGATACAAAAATTCTCAACAAGATACTAGCAAATTGAATCCAACAGTACATTAAAAGAATTATTCACCATGATCCAGTAGGATTTATTCCTGGGCTGCAGGGATGGCTCAATATTCACAAATCAATCAATGTGATACACCACATTAATAAAAGGATAAGAACCATATGATTTTCTCAATAGATGCAGAAAAAGCATTTGACAAATATAGCATCCATTCTTGATAAAAACCCTCAGGAAAGTAGGGATAGATAGAATATACTTAACATCATAAAGGCCATATATGAAAGATCCACAGCTAAGATCATCCTCAATTGAGAAAAACTGAGAGCTTTTCCTCTATGGTCAGGAACAAGACAAGGATGTCCACTCTCACCATTATTATTTAACACAGTAACCGAAAGTCTTAGCCTCAGCAATCAGACCACAAAAAGAAAGAAAAGGCATCCAAATTGGCAAAGAAGAAGTCAAACTTGCACTATTTGCAGATGACATGATACTCTGATAGAAAACCTGAAAGGGGTACCTGGGTTGCTCAGTTGGTTAAACGTCTGCCTTTGGCTCAGGTCACGATCCAGGGTCCTGGGATCAAGCCCCATGTTGGGCTCGTTGCTCAGCGGCGAGTCTGCCACTCCCTCTCCATCTGCCTCTCCCCCAGCTCATGCTCTCTCAAATAAATAAAATCTTAAAAAAAACAAACAAACCCAAAAGACTCCACCAAAAATTTGCTAGAACTGATACATGAATTCAGCAAAGGCACAGGATATAAAATCAACATACAGACATCTGTTGCATGTCTATACACCAATCATGAAGTAGCAGAAAAAGAAATCAAGGAATTAATCCCATTTACAATTGCTCCAAAATCCATAAGATACTTAGGAATAAACCCAACCAAAGAGATAAAAGATCTGTACTCCGAAAACTATAGAACACTTATGAAAGAAATCAAAGAGGAGAAAAAGCAATGGAAATACATGCCATGCTCATGGATTGGAAAGACAAATATTGTTAAAATGTCTATACTACCCAAAGCAATCTACACATTCAATGCAATGCCTATCAAAATACCACCAGCATTTTTCACAGAGCTAGAACAAACAATCCTAAAATTTGTTTGGAACCACAAAAGACTGCATAGCCAAAGCAGAAAAAGAAAATCAAAGCTGGAGGCATCACGATTCTCGATTTCAAGCTGTATTACAAAGCAGTAGTCATCAAGATGGTTTGGTACCGGCACAAAAACTGACACATAGATCAATGGAACAGAACAGAGAACCCAGAAATGGACCCATAATTATATGGTCAACTAATCTTTGACAAAGCAGGAAAACATAGCTAATGGAAAAAAGACAGTCTCTTCAACAAACGGTGTTGGGAAAACTGGGCAGTGACATGCAGAAGAATGAAACTGGACCACTTTCTTACACCAGACAAAAAAATAAATTCAAAATGGATTTTGAATGTAAGACAGGAAACCATCAAAATCCTAGAGGAGAAAACAGGGAGCAACCTCTTTGACCTTGGTCCCAGCAACTTCTTACTAGACACATCTCCCAAGGCAAGGGAAACAAATGCAAACATGAACTATTGAGACTTCAAGATAAAAAGCTTCTGCATAGTGAAGGAAACAATCAACAGAACTAAAAGGCAGGCTACAGAATGGGAGAAGATATTTGCAAATGACATATCTGATAAAGGGTTAGTATCCAAAACCTGTAAAGAACTCATCAAACTGAACACCCAAAAAACAAGTAATCCAGTTAAGCAATGGGCAGAACACATGAATAGACAATTTTCTTTCTTTTTTTTTTTGAATAGACACTTTTCCAAAGAAGACATCCAGATGGCTAATAGACACATGAAAAGATGCTCAACATCACCTATCATCAGGGAAATACAAATCAAAACCACGATGAGATACGACCTCACACTTGTCAGAATGGCTAAAATAAACATCACAGGAAACAAGAGATGTTGGTGAGGATGCAGAGAAAGGGGAACCCTCTTACATTGTTGGTAGGAATGCAAACTGGGGCAGCCACTCTGGAAAACCGTATGGAGCTTCCTCAAAAAGTTAAAAATAGAACTACCCTATGACCCAGCAATTGCACTACT